AGTTACATTATATGATCATACAGTGCATAACCAGTGCTTGTGACCAAATGGATACTAAAAAAGACTGGACATATCCCATTTGCAATACCTTGGGTTGTCTACTATTGCAAATGGTATGTCATCATAGGGGTGATTTTCATTGTTGGGCTACCATAGGGTCTCAAAGGCAACGTAACCAATCTGGCGAATTTCAATTTCAAACGTAATGTGCTATATTTGACCCTGTAACTTCCCAAAACACCATAAAACCTGTACATAGGGGGTACTGTTTTACACGTGAGACTTTGCTGAATACAAATATGTGTATTTTATTGCAGTAAAAGCAAACCGTATTATGACATTGACAGTTAAATTGTCATGTACAACGTTGTAATACATTTTACTGTTTTGAAACACTAATATTTGTGTTCAGCGATGTCTCCCGCGTAGAACAGTACCCCCCATGTACAGGTTTTATGGTGTCTTGGAAAGTTATAGGGTTAAATATAGTGCTAGCAAATTAAATTCACTTTACTTTCGGCATGGGTTGTCAGGCAGGTCCTGCTAATTGTAATTAAGATACCTAATTATGTAAAAATATTACATAAATATATGTAGAATTAATATATATATACGTATGTGTATATATAATTTTTGTAAATTATTTATATATAGGTATATATACGTATATATTTATGTATATAGATATATTTCGTTCTACGTGTATTTTGATATATATATTATCACAATACAGTTAGAACGAAATAACATACATCTATATATTTTTTAATTTTATTTAACGTACTTACATATTTTTTTCTATTAGATATAAATATATAACAATAATTATATATATTTAATCAGTCTGCATGTAATTTGATATTAATCTATATATATAATTATATATATATATATATATTAATAGTAAAATACACCTAGACAGTGTGTGTGTGTGTGTATATATTTTTTACACTCTATTAACTTTTAATTTATTTGTATTCAGCCAGCAGGGGGAATACCTGTCATTACAGGCAGTCCCCCTGCTGGCAATACAGCAGGCAGCTAACCCAGCCATGTGATTGTGAGGTCCTCGCAAGGACCTCACTCTCACTTGGCCGGGGGGGCTGAAGGAGGGAGGATCTGCCGCGGGGGGCTCCCTGGGAGTCCCCCCAACTGCAATCGCCGGCGACCGGGTAAGTTAAAAAAAAAAAAACGGAGGGCGTACTATTACGCCTGGCGGCGTTTAGAGCCGCCTAAAATAGGACGTAATAGTACGCCCTCCGGCGTTAAGGGGTTAAAGGACCACTATAGTGTCAGGAAAACATACTCGTTTCCTGGCACTATAGTGCCCTGATGGTGCGACGGGCTCTGGGGGTTGAAGGGGTTAAACTTGCCTCTTTCTCCAGCGCCGGGCGTTCTCCTTCTCCTCTTCTTCCGTCACCGGCTGAATGCCCATGCGCGGCAAGAGCTGCGCGCGCATTCAGCCAATCCATAGGAAAGCATTATCAAGTGTGGAAGCCCTCTAGCGGCTGTCAATGAGACAGCCACTAGAGGCTGGATTAACCCATAGGTAAACATAGCAGTTTCTCTGAAACTGCTATGTTTACAGAAAAAAAGGGTTAATCCTATCTGGACCTGGCACCCTGACCACTTAATTAAGCTGAAGTGGTCTGGATGCCTATGGTGGTCCTTTAAGGTCATGCTAACCAAACATATAAAAATGAACAAGGCTAAACTAATGCAAGACAAACTCTTGTAAGAAATAAAGCACCAGTCATTGTCTGTCTTATGTAGAATAATAAAATAAATTAGAAGAAGTGAACCTTCTTAAAACAAAAACACGGTCTAGAAACTAAACATATATTGTGATATTGCAGAAGGTCTTGAGGGTAAGGTATGTCTTCGCTGATCATACTAATATTTGCAACAGGGTTGATGTTCCAGGAGGGGTAAGTCAAATGGCAAATGATTTAGAAAAATGATCAGAGCTGTGGCAACTGACATTTAATGTGGATAAGTGAAAGATAATGCATCTTGGACGTAAAAACCCAAGGGCAGAGTATAGGATATTTGATACCCTACTAACCTCAACATCTGAGGAAAGGGATTTAGGGGTAATTTTTTCTGATGACTTAAAGGCAGGCAGACAATGTAATAGAGCAGCAGGAAATGCTAGCAGAATGCTTGGTTGTATAGGGAGAGGTATTCGCAGTAGGAAGAGGGAAGTGCTCATGCCATTGTACAGGACACTGGTGAGACCTCACTTGGAGTATTGTACGCAGTACTGGAGACTGTATCTTCAGCAGGATATTGATACCTTAGAGAGAGTTCAGAGAAGGGCTACTAAACTGGTTCATGGATTGCAGGATAAAACTTACCAAGAAAGGTTAAAGGATCTTAACATGTATAGCTTGGAGGAAAGACAAGACTGGGGGATATGATAGAAACATTTAAATACATAAAGGGAATCAACACAGTAAAGGAGACTATATTTAAAAGAAGAAAAACTACCACAACAATTAGAGGGGCAAAGGTTTAAAAATAATATCAGGAAGTATTACTTTACCGAGAGGGTAGTGGATGCATGGAATAGCCTTGTAGCTGAAGTGGTAGAGGTTAACACAGTAAATGAGTTTAAGCATGCATGGGATAGGCATAAGGCTATCCTAGAATTAAGATAAGGCCAGGGACTATTTAAAAGTTTTTTGAAATATTGGGCAGACTAGATGGGCCGAATGATTATCTGCCGTCACATTCTATATTTTTCCAATAGAGATTAGATACCCAATGTATGACCCTTGTCAAAGACAAAACTTCAAGAGGTCAGACCGAAATTCCAGACAATGCTGAACGAAAAGTCATACCCTGGCTAGCAAACATCAAGCAGGAATAAACTGAAAAATTACTGGAAGTAAAGTATTTATTAAGACTTTATACAACCAGGATATTTATTATCAGCACTCTTTTATACCATGCATTATTGTATGTATAAACTTACCTAAATGTGACCCATTTGTTAGGAAGCCTAATGTAAGCAACTGGGAGGAACTGAAAGATCAGAAACCCAGGTGCCTATACTAGTCTTTAATCTAAATTACTAATGCTCTTTCCTGAAGAGGGAAAATGTACTAAATAGCCATAGAGACAGATGAACAACGGCAGGCCTGAATTGCAGCAGCAAATGGGGATTTGAACAACTGACAGCCTAAAATGTTTAAACTATAGGCTTCCATCTGTACCCCATATGCCATTTCTCATCACTAGTGGTGGAACGGTTAAAACAACCAGACTAGGTGGAATACATAGTTATACCCAGGGAGTCACCTTATGGAAGTGCTGTTTGCTGGGTCTTCAAGGGAAATAGGCTTTGCTCCAGCATGTTTGCATTGGACAGCCTTCATCTGCTGAGGGAGATAGTTGGGTAAAACCCCAGGTCGTTGAAGGAGGTACCCAGGTTGGCGACTCAGAGATGTGCTGTTGGCTTCAGGGATAAGAGGCTGAACCCTGGCATGAATGCAGTGGACCGCTTTCATCCCCTAAGGGAGAGATTGGGTCTGTCCTCCGGTCACTAAGGGGGGTATCCAGGCTGGCGAACTCATAGATGTGCTATTGCTGGATCTTCAGGGGCAAGTGGCTGAACCCTGGCAAGGCTACAAAAATATTGCTTCGTGAGCATTAAAGAAATAGCTAAGCCTTCTTAAGCAGACTCTTTCCAAACTGCTGCAAAAAGATTTAAAAAAAAAAAAAAAACGCACTCCAATCACATGACGATCCTGGTGCTAAACTGGATCATGGGCCAGCTCCAGGGAATAGATATCAGTGGCAGTCACTCCAAGTATCTGCAACTTTATTTATTTGGAAAAGTGAGACACAGCAACATTTCGACCTCTGAAAGGGTCTTTGTCAAGATACATCACACTAGAAATACCCGTTCATAGGCCAAAGCATAGTGAAAGTGTAAAACAAACTCATTAGGTCGGGGCTTGACAAATTTGCTTTCAATCTAGGAGCCCGGTGTCCCCAACAAAAAAAAAAAATACAATTCTTAAAGGAACACTATTCACCAGAACCACTACAGCTTAATGTAATGGCTCTGGTGTGTATAGCCTGTCCATGCAGACTTTTCAATGTAAAAGCTGCCATTTTCAGAGATGAGGCAGTTTTTACATTGTTGCCTAGTAACACCTCTAGTGGCTGTCACTCAGATGGCCACAAAAGTGTCTGTCTTAATCCACAATGTGCAGTGCCTTCATTCAGGGTCTTCACGCTCTGCATGGAGGCGCTGAACATTCCCCATAGAGATGCTTTTTATTAATATAATGCATCTCTATGAGGAGATGCTGATAAGTAATTGATAATCTTGGCTTTTTGAGGTGGGCTAGCTACTGCGAGACCGGCAAGGCCCTGGGAAAAAAGATGAGTAAAAACATTCCAAATGCGATCGGAGGGGGCTGGTGACCTAAACATACACATTCACTGACAGACTCTCTCTCACACACACGTACGTTCTAGGCTCAGGAGGGTGGCTGCTTTGGGACTGGGCAGCAGCATGTGACATCTTGATACTGGGGCTGGCTGCGGCTAATGGGAGTAAGCAGCCGCTGTTCCAGACTCCCTTCCTCCGCCTCCTCCTGTCTCTGCAGCCGCAATCAGCTCTGTGTGCGCCGTGAGGAAGTGAAAGGAACCATAATAACTTCCTCCCGGTGCCGAGGTCACGCAGGGTAAAGGCTGGTTGGCTCTGCGGCATGGGTGCGCGGAGCAGAGCTGTCTTTACCTGGTGTCCTGCCATTCCCTTGCGCTGCCTTTGCACCGGGAGGAAGTAATTACAGTTCTTCACTTCCTCTCGGCGCACAGAGAGATGCATGGGGATTGAGACAGGAGGGGACGGGGCTGCCCAATCCCGGCACCAGGGCAAAATATTTAGTCGCCCTGGCACCGTGGATTTGTCGAGCCCTGCATTTAGTGATCAATTAACAATCTATAATTAAACATTGGTGTAGTCAATTCAGTCCATTGCCTCACCCAGAGTTCCCAGCTGAATCCACTCCAGAGCAAAAAGAAATAAACTAACAAATAACACTGCAGTTCTGATCACATGGATCCAAACACTTATTTTCTAGATCGGGGGGACTTCAGAACCACTTCCCTGCCATTGGGTGTGCATAAATGTGATTACACTGTCATGCATAAATGTGGGCGTGGCTTCAGCTTACTGAAGAGGGCAGGACACACCAACTAGCCCCAATTAGACTACAGAACCTCCCACAGAGAGGGGGCAGGGTAAAGCTAGCTCCTATGGCAGTGCAGATGCCAACCACCTACAGGATCCTATGCAGGACATATAAACTGATCAAACAGGAAACAACTGGAGAAGCCAAATAGTGTGTACGAATTCAACTATATATTGAACAAAATCACAAAACAGAATACTTAAAGATATAAAACAGAGACTAAACATTCGTATGGGATCAAAATGTTTAGATACCATCATAAGACATCCACCCATAATACCAAGTGCAATAAAGTACATGCATAATTCACTATAATAAAAGCATATAATATCAAAGTGAAATATTTATATATCCTCTTATTAAGGGAGTGACAATATATATATAGAAAATGTGCAACTGGACAGGGTGCATAACCATAAAGTGCACTAGTGAAGTGCTCTGAGCTGCATCCTGTCCTTATTAAATAAATTGTAATTGGTATAGATGTAATTGGTAACCGATTCATTCTAAAGTGCTTAATATTAAGTGCATTAATGAACTGCCTACAACCGTTTCAACACATAAAGTGCCTTAGTATCCACTAAGATGCAAATATACAATACATGTAAAACTCAATGTGCAAAAATAAGACACTTACTTGTGCAACATAACTAAACCGTAAAATCATGTGTGGTTAAAAATGAGTGCTAATGATGTATCTAAGATCCCAATGAACGACCAATGTACTGAAGTGTGAAAATTGAGCTAAGTACCAGCACCAATTGAATCTGAACATATGTAAAAGGAAAATGGGGGGCTAACCCATGAGTAAATGCTGCCATGATTGGTCAACTCTGTCTCCTCCTTGGGGACTTTGCATAGTTTGCAAAGACCCCCGATTGTGATTCTCTTGCTTGGTGGCTTTGGGGGGCAGGGGAAGGTGAGTATTATTTACATGAACCTGTCCCTCGCAGCTGCCTCCATGGTCTTCCTGCTGGTTCTTTGTCTGTCAGGAGCAAAAAGTTAGCAAAGTCCACAAAGGTAACTCCACCTTTTGTCAAGTAGTAATGAAACGCGTATGTATTTTAGAAGAAAAAGATTGAGAAAGAAGAAAAGAACCGATTAGGAGTAAGGGAGAGAAGAGGAACAGATTGAATTAAAGGAACACTATAGGCCCCCAGACCACTTCAGTTAATTGAAGTGGTCTGGGTGCAGTGTCCCTAATGCATTTAGGACTGCAATGTTTTAAATATTGCAGTTCCAGATAAACTGCAATGTTTATATTGCAGCAATAAGTCTGCCTCCAGTGGCAGTCTACCAGACTGGAAGCAATAGTGCCAGGAATACAGCTTTGTGTTCCTGGAACTATAGTATCCCTTTACAGATAAGTGTAGGTTGACAGCGAGCTGAATTGAGTATGTAATACATGTACTTGCCAAATACCCATGTGAGGAGTTAGAGTAGAATAAATTGCAAAATAATTCTATACATTAAAGGAATACTGTACTTACTATAACTACTTCATGTAGTTTAAAGTGTTTTAGTCCTACAGTCCTACTCCCCTTTAATTTCCCCTCAAATGTGATTTAGTTATCTTAGTATTTGGAGGTGCAGCTGCATAAGAAAGCCGGGAATGCAACTTCCTGGCTCTCCTACCCAGGCATTCCTTAATGACATTAAAGGGACACTATAGTCCTAGAACAACTACATGTGAATGTAGTTGTTTTAGTGAGTATAATCATTATATGCAAGCAGTTTTATGCAAACACTAAGGTAGTGTTTACATTGCCCCTAGGGCAGTGATGGCGAAACTATGGCACAAGTACCACAGGTCGCACGCCGGGCCTTCTCTGTGGGCACGCGGCCATAGGTTCGCCATCAATGCTGAGTAGGCACCTACTCTGCTTCCGTGTCCGGAGGCAGGGGGAGGGATCGAGATAGCAGCTCTCCTGTCCTCCCGCGCGATGCTGTGTGGAGCGTTGCCACGCGTTACCATCGCGCGGGAGGACAGCTGCTTCCCTGTCGCATACTTACCACCACCGGACCACCAGGGATGGCTGTTTTCCCCCCTTTCACCAAAGGTAAGAAGGGAGGGTGCAATACTGATTTTATATATATATATATATATATATATATATATATATATATATATATATAAAATCTTAAATTTTTTTTTTTTTATGTATCTCCCCTCCCCCCTACACACACGACACTCGACACACACTCCACACCCTTACACACAAACACATACACTGCACCCCTGAATGTAGTATATGTGTGTGTGTATTCAGCATGTATACAGTCTGTATTCAGCATTGTGTGTGTATTTAGCAGTCTGTCTGTGTGTGTGTATGTATTAAGCAGTCTGTGTGTATGTATTGCATATGTTGGAGATACTAATAAATATAAACTTAATTTTATCTATATCATTGTTGACTACTTCTTTTAAAACAAAAGATGTTAATTAGTTCGCACAACTGTACAAGTTGTTTTTTTCTAAACTTAAACCTCAGTATTCAGGTTTAATTACCGTGTTGGAACTTTGAGGGAAAAAAAAAGTTGGCATGTATTGCGGTTTGGGCACTCTGGCTCAAAAAGGTTCGCCATCACTGCCCTAGGGACACCTCCAAGTGGGCACTCCTCAGATGGCCACTGGTGGTGCTTCCTGGCTCAGTACTGCACAGTAGGCGGCACTGCTGTTTAGGGTCTCCACGCTCTGCATGGGGATATTTAATTTACCTCATAGAGATACATTGATTCAATGCATCTCTATGAGGAGGTGCTGATTGGCCAAAACAGTGTTTGGCCCGCCCCCTTGCAGATTTTATCCAATGCTTTCCCATTGGCTAAAAATCGACAATTCTGAAGGGACGGAGCTAGCGCCAACGCACCCGTGCAGCGCTGGAAACAAGGTGAATTTTAATTGCTTTTAAGGGGGGTGGTGGGTTAGCACTATAGGGTCAGGAATACATGTTTGTGTTCCTGACCTTATAGTGATCCTTTAAATGATTTTTTTTATGACAGAATCAATGGCGGGTCGCAGCAATCACTGCTCATGTGCCTGCAGTCTCCAATGAAGCATGACTTCAGGGTGGCAGCAGAAGGAAACTATGCAATGGAAAAATGAAGTAAAAAAAACTACTTATAGATATAATACTGAACATGGAGGACCATAAAACTAACTAGGAACATGGATAGCATAGGGTAAGTAACGAAATTTGTATTTCTAAAGCCATATTGTCCTACTAACGTGTCCAACTGTCGTCATGATTTCTAAGCAAAGCTTGGATAATTTGGCTGCTTTTTAAATAGCCTTTTAAAAATAACAGTGCGGCTGTTTTGTTATGTCATGCTTCACTCCTGTGCTAAGAAGTGAAACGGAAGTAGCCTAGTTTGTATTTCTCATCATGCCCTATTGCCTATTTTATTAAGTTATTTATAGCATCAGGTCTTGTATTTAGTTCAGACCTCAGATGAACCCACACTATCACCAGGCAATTAAGGATCTCTTGGCACTACTCCTGTAATCACTCACCAAAAAGTAATCTAACTTTAAAGATCGTTCTTCAGCTAGCTTCCCCTCACGTGTATTCTCATACAGTAGATCCACACTTTGCACTATTTTCTGTTTTTATCAATTGAGAAACAAAATGTAATTCATCTTTGAACAGCTCAGTGTTCAATTGTGAGACTTGTATTTTAATGGCTCTATTTTTCTATCTAAGCAAGTAGCTTTTATATTTTCAAAAATACTGTTTTAACTGTAAGTGCCATCACTTGTTTCTTTTTACTGGGATAGGGAACCGGGCTACTTGAATTTGGGGCAATGTAGCCAAATCTCCTTCTTGTTAGTGAAGTGATCACTGGGCCAAAATTATCTGTTTATGGAAATCCCAGACTTTATGCTCCTGTATTTCTGATACACATTTAAAGGGACACTATAGTCACCTGAACAACTTTAGCTTAATGAAGCAGTTTTGGTGTATAGAACATGCCCCTGCAGCCTCACTGCTCAATCCTCTGCTATTTAGGAGTTAAATCCCTTTGTTTATGAACCCTAGTCACACCTCCCTGCATGTGATTTGCACAGCCTTCCATAAACACTTCCTGTAAAGAGAGCCCTATTTAGGCTTTCTTTATTGCAAGTTCTCTTTAATTAAGATTTTCTTATCCCCTGCTATGTTAATAGCTTGCTAGACCCTGCAAGAGCCTCCTGTATGTGATTAAAGTTCAATTTAGAGATTGAGATACAATTATTTAAGGTAAATTACATCTGTTTGAAAGTGAAACCAGTTTTATTTTTTTCATGCAGGTGTTTTGAACCCTAACATTAACCCTAATTGTCCCATGTCCTAAGCTTAGTGAATGCACTAACTATAATGAAAGTGTAAAACTAATTTTACTTTCCTTCCAAGACCTTGCTGTGGAGGAGTAGCAGGAGTGCTAGCACGCATGTGCAGCACAGGATCCAGCTGATTCCCCTCACCGGAAGTGACTAGGGTAGGGGATTTTCATGGGTAGGGGAATTTGATAGAACACAGGCTCTGTCAATCATAGCCAGGGGATGTGTGGCTAGGGCTGCATAAAGAGAAACAAAGTGATTTAACTCCTAAATGACAGTGAATTGAGCAGTGAAAATGCAGGGGAATGATCTATACACTAAAACTGCTTTATTTAGCTAAAGTAATTTAGGTGACTAGTGTTCCTTTAAAGGAATAATATAGGGTCAGTTGCAGTTTTATTTCTGACACTATAGTTCCAAAGTGGCTTTAGGTGTTTGGCCCTCCTCAAGTCTCAGACAAAAGTAATTTTACTCTCTTCTTCTCCCACTCTGCTTTGGCCTCGCTGCATCTGGCTCTGCCTCCATGGGGAGATAATCTGATCTCAGCCAATCCAGTGCTTTCCCATAGGAAAGCATTTGGGGGCTATTGTGCATGACCTGCACTGCCCCAATCGGCATCTCTATGAAGAACGTTCACCGTCATACTACAGCACTGACCCAGGAAGCACCTTTAGTGACCATCTGACTGCACCTAGAGGTGTTGCATGGCAGCTATATAAACACTGCAGATGTGTGCAGCTGCTCACTTCCCCTCTGTTTTCCCTCTTCCTCCAGCCGGCGTGCTCTGTTTGGGAGGAAGTGCTGTCACTTCCTCTCAGCATCCCATAGAATAGGCGTCCGGTTGCGGTCTTTCTCACTGTTTAGTCAGGCTCTTCTTGAGAAATATTAATTTTCTAAAGCTTTACTTCTGCCTTTTATCTGTGTTCTCTGTAATTCATCAAAATGACTCGCCTTCTAGGTCCTGGGTAGAGCTAAGCAAGTTTCTAGTTATAGGGGCACTATTGTCACCAGAAACACTGCAGCTGAATGTTGTGGTTCTGGTGTCTATAGCCTGTACCTGACGCCTTTTCAGAGAAAAGGCAGTGTTTGCATTGCTGCTTAGTAAGACCTCTAGTGGTTGTCACTCAGACGCTTTACATGTGAACGCGCCCTACAGAGATGTATTGATTCAATGTATCTGTATTAGGAGATGCTGATTGGTGCAGCGCATCGCTTGGTACATAAGAGCAATAGATAAGATAAAGCCCGCGGCAAGACCGGCGCGGTGGGGGGGAGCAGAGTAAAATCGAATATTTAGTGAGAGGAGTGGGGACGGGGACTTAAATAGTTAAATCCTATAGTTTCATGAATACATGTTTGTATAGTGTTAATTTAAGCATGTGTTCTGTCCTTTGCACCCAACACTTAGCTTGAGAATGAGTTGGTATATTTAGTTAAGTTGCTATAAATAGTCAGTGAGCCCAGGCGTAGATCCCATGTGCTCAGTCTTTAGTTGCCTTCTTTGGCATAAACTTTGCAGGGGTTTTACACCAATCAACTCACTGTGAACTTTGCTATGTTATCTTTCATTTGGTTGGGGGATTGAGAGAGCAGGCAGATGTAGGGAGTACTTTCAGGTGCTAATTAAGATTATATATATATCTAGGTTGTGTTTTGTTTTTGTTTTTTGTTTTTTTAAAGCTTTTTTTTTGGGGGGGGTCAAACTTTAGCATTAATTAAGCGGACTAAAAGCAAACGTATTTCACAGCTTAATTTTACTCAGCATGAGTCAAACAGGCATTATTTTTTACCCCATGCACATATTTTATGCAATGTGTGTTTTTGTGTGCATTTAGGATTAGCGTAGTTTAAATTGTTAAGGAATCTTGTGAAAGTTTGTGTGCAACCATAAATTTCCAGCCAAGCATACGACAAATTAAAGGTGCTTGAACTGGGCAAATAGTGGTACGATACACCGCAAAATATTTGCAGAGGCTCTTATTTGTATATAAGCCGTACATTATAACAGGTTACATTTGAACATAGAAAAGTTATACACAAACCTCTCTTGAGTGATGCATTTCAAAGTTGCGTGTGTTCCTCGTGATTAGTTTGAGAAATGGCAAAGATTTGTGTAGACTATAGCGGTCATGTGAGTGAGAAAGTGGTGGCGTGTCATGCAGACTGACTGCCATATGATGGGGGCAGAATCATGGGGAGACTTGTTTAATATAAGACATCAGATGTATGAATATTCTGACTTTATTTTCTAAAGTGAGAAGTCAAAGTGAATTTAATATTTAAAGGGACACTATATAGTCACCAGAACAGCAGCTTATTGTATTTTTTTTCAGGTGAGTAGAATCATTCCCTTCAGGCTTTTTGCAGTAAACAGTCTTTTCAGAGAAATTCAGTGTTTACATTACAGCCTATGGATATCTCCACTGGTCTCTCCTCAGATGGCTTCCTGGGCAGTGCTGCATAGTGTGACTGACATTCAGTGTCTCCACCCTCTGCATGCAGATGCTGAACTTTCCTCATAGAGATGCATTGATTCAATGTATTTCTATCTGGAGATGCTGATTGGCTTGTGCTGGCTATGCCCCTGATCTGCCTCCTTGACAGCCTCAGCCAATCTATCGCTTTCCTATGTGAAAGCATTGTGGTTGGCTCAGATAACCACTTCTCATGTCAGCAAAGGAGGCAGATAAGTGGCAGAGCCATCAGCAGCAGACTGGAATAAAGGGAAGATTTGCTATATTTAATGGGTGGGTGGCATTGAGTGATAAATGGTGGTTTTAACACTATAGGGTCAGGAATAAATGTTTATGTTCCTGACCCTATAGTGTTCCTTTCAGGCAGGACTCTACTAATCTCAGGTCGTCATGGCAACTAGACAACTTCTCTGCTCCCTTAGTTATGCCGGCAACTGGAATATGACCTCTCTCCAGCCCTGGCATCACTACAGAGAGCAGGGGAGCTGAGAGGAACTGCGGGAAAATTAGAGAGCAGTCCCACTGGAATCCAGGGAAAGGATCCACTTAGCTTTCCCAAAGGTAAAGAGGCTGGGTGGATTTAAATGAATGTCAATTTGTGAGAGTTTGTGTGTGTCAGTCTGTTTAGGTCTCTGCCTCCCTCCGATCACATGAGGAAGGTGATTTTCCAATGCTGCGGCTGGTCCCGCCTCCATGGCTGAGATGATCAATCTTTATGATCTCAGCTAAGCCAATGCTTTGGGAGGATACTGCGCATGATTTCTATGGGTAACATTCAGCGCCTCCATGCAGAGCGCTAAACATGGGTACTGCACACTGTGGAGTCCTGCACACACAGGACTCTCTAGTGGCCGGCTGAGTGACTGTCACTAGAGATGTTACTAGACAGCAATGTAAACACTGCTTTTTCTCTGGAAAAGCAGTGTTAACACTGAAAAGATTTAAAGTACAGGCTACAGACACAAGAACAACTACATTAATCTGTAGTGGTTCTGGTGACTATATTGTGCCTTTTTAGGAATTGCATTTTTCTCGTTGAAAATTAAACTTTGCTAGTTTAAGTAAAAATGTCTCCTAACTTTTTTTTTTCTTTTTTTTTAAAACTAGCTCTTAGATTCCAAACAAATTTTGTCCAGCCCTGCTTTAAGGCACATGTAGCAGAACTTTGAATTCTCATGTTAGTGAATAAACTTGACTGCAGGAGCCTCCATAGACTATTCTGTCAACTGGAGAATTGACAAAAGTGCAGCTCCTGCCATCATGTTTTGTCCCTGCTTTGTCTTTTACCTTTTAAATGAGTTGGTGTTTCAGTGAAAGTCTGACAAAATATTTCATAAAGAATCTGTCTTTACGAAATACTCAATTTGTGGTGAGACAGAATGACTTTAATCACTGCTCAATATACAAGTTCTTTATATACCTGTATGGGTTCTCATAGCTCCTTAAGTTCTATTATTTATTAAATAAATAAAATATATGTTAAGCTGAGGACTCAATCTAGATAATGGAGTAGAGTCTGACCCAACATGGCTGCTCACCTAGATAAAAAGTGAGATTTTCTTTAAAAAAAAACCAACAATATACATCAATTAAAAATAGATCAAGTTTCATTAAATGTTAATAAATGTAAAAAAAAAAAAAGTGAAAACAGTAGTCCTTTCTAGTTGCTTTCTCACCTGTGTGGGTTCAAATGTTAAAACAATCTAACCCCAAAGTTGGTTCTAATCTAAAGATAAAACTGTAGTGGTTCTGGTGCTTTTAAAATAAATCTGGAAATGTGTGTGTTGGTGCTGGATTGATAGAAAATGTTTCTCATTGCTTAATGGGAAATTAGAAACCCTTAGCTGATCCATGCCATCCAATAATTGATTAAATTGATGACTGTACTTCCACTTGGTCAAACTGCTCAAAATAGTTTGAAAACAGTGACCACATAAGCAGCCTAATTTAGCACTAAAACCGCCTCATCGGCAGGTAGTGTTTATGGTGCCTAGACTGCTCATGTTACACAACAAAGGGCCATTAATATTTTCTAGTAATAACACTAGCCGGTTTCATGTTTACTTGACTACTCTTTGATATACTGCTGTATGTATTTGATACGTCTGCTTTTTGTCAGGGTTTTGAGATGGGTGAAATAAATTTAAGCATGTTTGAAGCTTGTGGGCTTCCTGAAGTGCTGTGATCACACTCTCCTTACCCCCCAAACACTTCATCTTGCAAGTAATGTTTTTCGTCTTCATTTGATACATTCCCATGAAGTGGCCACCAGGTGTAGCATCTCATGTTGCTGTGCCTTGGATGTCCTTGGTGAGGCTGGTAGATATAGATTTAAGAATTAAGATACAGTGCTAACTAACGGAATAGATCTAGGGGGCAACAAACACTGATGGTATGGGTATTGATGTGCTATTTAAATTTCTCTAACACTAATATACTGCTTACTCCAAGTACTTCACTATCACAGGGCTTTGGGGGGATTTACAATAAATTGTACAATTACACAGGAACAATAGGTAGATGAGGGCACTAGTTTTTTAATGATCCTGTGACGATACAGCCCTGGACGATACCGAAGGCACAACAGTTCAGGCACGCTATCGTCCGTGTGCATTCTTTTTTAACATAACCTGCACCACTAACTGCTCCACTAAATGCTATGTGACTCATCTTTGGTAGTGTATGCAGGATATACTGCGCTGGTATCTGGTTACCATATGATATTTGAACTAGTTCTCTCACTAGAGTCTTGTTGGTAATTACTCTATAGAGGACAATGAATAACAATATCCTATGAGACCTCAAGGAAGAGACAAACCAGCTTTTTTTTCTCGGCAGCTCAAAAGAACTGACTGTTGATTGTAGAAACATCCAGTTTACATAGATCACAGCATACAGTAAATTCACCAACGGAATACAGAACTGGGCAAATAAAACACACCGCAAGGAACTGGCTACAAAGTGATTCATTACGCTAGTTCTAGCCTCTCTTGTGTAAGTCCACCCTGACAACAAATTGTTCTCTTGACTGACCCTTCAGAGCAATCTCTGATTACATCAACAGACCTTTGCTGTAGACCATGTAGACTTGCTGGCTCTCACAGCAGGTGGTCACTTATAGTACAGAGTTTGTTGATTACTAAACAAAAGAGGAGATAAAGTTGCGCCAAATTAGAATAGACAAAGTATAGTTAGAAATATATATATATATATATATATATATATATATATATATATATATATATATAATTGTATAAATAACAGAAGTAGAGGTTGACACACTAGCCTTTTACTTTGTCACTCACCCATCTCTTCACAGGCTTCACCGAAGGGTTCCACACGGGGTTAATGGCACTGCCATAGGTACGTTTGAGTGTAAACAACTTACAATCAGCAGCATCAGATCCCACCACAAGTGGATACACTCTGTCATAACGAAATTCAGAAGGCTTCATGATCGGCCATTCCATACGCCCCTGTTCACTTGCTGGCGTACCAATCCTATAGGTATCCACCACAGGGAAAAATAACAATAAAAAACGATTGATCATAACATATCGGCTCCTCATTCTGTTGTGACACCTAGCCTGAAGGCACCCATACCATCAGACAAATTCTCCCGGCAGTAGTCCACAGTGGACAACGCAATACAGGCGATATTAGAGGCAGGAGAAGCAGCCTGGTTAGAAACTGACATTTCCAGCGACTTCAAACTGCTCCAAATATGCCAGTCACTGTGGCATCTACACGGAATAAAATGGAAAGGCTTATACGAGTTTGCCGTTCGACTAACTTTTGGGGACAAAGCAGCCCAAAGTTATTTGATTTGTTCACTGAAACACTATGCTGGCCTGTTATACTTACGTAGCTGTCCAGTCGTCATCCACTATCTAGATGACTTCCGGACTGTAGGAAAACACGAGACCATCCCTCTAAGCATTACGGAAACTGTGGCAATTTTTCAACCATAGGAGTGCAGGTAGCCTTGAATAAAACAGTGGGACCTGTCACCAGGTTATCATTTATGGATATATGCCCAGACTCAGTCACCATGCAGGCTAGTCTCCCCGCAGACAAAGTTCAGAGAATCAGGACAGAGATAGAGTTGTTTCTCAACATAGATACTACTTACCGAGAAAAAACCTACAGTCACTACTTGGTTCTCTGAACTTTGCTATGAGAATTATCCCACAAGGACAGGCTTTTATATCGTGACTATTCAGCCTCTTAGCCAAACTACCCAACAACCTCAGCATAGTCACTCTAGACCAACATGCTAGGTCAGACTTATCTATGCTGAGACAATTCTTGTCTCATTGGAACGGTACAAATTTTTTCATTCCACCTTGGACAGAGTTTTCCCCAGTGTTACGGACAGATGCAGTAGCCCACTTAGGGTACGCAGCTATTTTTGGCGACAGTTGTTTTAGAAGCACATGGCCAGTCGAGACAGAAAGGGGATCGGTTGGAAAGGGGGGATCGGAGCTTGGCTGTGTGTACGCTGATAGGCAAGGGGGGATCGGAGCTTGGCTGTGTGTACGCTGATAGGCAAGGGGGGATCGGAGCTTGGCTGTGTGTACGCTGGTTGGCCGGGGGGGATCGGAGCTTGGCTGTGTGTACGCTGGTTGGCCGGGGATCAGAGCTTAGTGTATGCTGGTAGGCGGGGATCGAGCTTGGCTGTGTACGCAGGCGGGGATCAGAGCTGGCTGTGTGTACGCTGGCAGGTGGGGGATCGTAGCATGGTTGTGTGTAGGCTAGGAGGATCGGAGCATGGCCTTGTGTACGCTTGGCTGTGCTGCTTTTATAATATTGCACGCAGTCAGGCTGGAGATTGGAAGCTCCTCGACTGAGATGCTGCAGTTACATAGCTGGCTGTTAGAGCTGGGAGGAGTCCCTTGGTTTCCTTGCCAACCCGGAGCAGGCTCTGGCAGCTGTGTTTAGTCAGCTGTGTACTGGTATTATAGCTCTTGCTGCTGCTGAGGCAGCACAGCTGATGGCATTTTATTTTTTTATTTTTAGACCTAGGCAGGACTGTAACCCTGCCCATAGATACTAGTCCTTGATTGGATCCCTGCAAACCATGATCGGCCAGTTAGCTGGGGAAATTAGAACTTAAATAAAGAATAGGGATCAAAACAAATCAATTGACCCCCTCTCCCCAGTAATTTACTGCTGTTTGCAAGTGGATGAAACTAAAGATTGTGATTAAGATTATTAAATAAAAATATCTACCTGAGCACAAAGCTTGTTTTTTTTTTTTTTAATGCTGTGTATATCTGGAACTGTTTATGACAGACTTTTGTGAGGTTCTATCCTGCAGGAATATGTTTACTTCTCGTAGATCTGTTCTTTGTTATAAGAGAGTATTTGGAATGTTACTGAATGCAAATAAACGTGTATGCCCTGCTTAAAGGGACACTATAGTCACCAGCTTAATGTAGTGTTTTTAGTGTCTATAGCCTGTCTCTGCAGTGTTAGCACTGTGAACACTGCCTTTTCTGAGAGGCGTTACCAGCTGGCAATGTAAACACTGCTGAGACAGGCTATAGAAATTTATGGGAAACGTTCAGCGCCTCCGTGGAGATGCTGAACGTCCATGCCGAAAAAAGGGTAATTCTGAACTAGAAAGCGCCACTAGAGTGCATTTCTAAAGCTATAGTGCCGTTTGACAGCAACTTGAGCTTTTTAAACCCTGGATTAAAAACATTGCTGTTTTGCAGAATGGCTGTGTTTTCGCTGAAAATAAAGTTGTATAGATGCCTATTGTGTCCCTTGTTAGGGGTTAACGATTTAATCAAATATAGCAACACAGATGTAAAATGCAAACCATGGTGCACCAGTGTGTAACAAGCTTAACAAACCAATGTTATAATTACTCCTATCTTATAGAACCTGCATTAATCAATTCCCAAGCATGATCTCAAAGAATGTAAGAAACTAGCACTACTAGTTCACAACATGCAATATGTCAGATAAAGGACCACTATAGGCACCCAGACCACTTCAGCTCCATGAAGTGGTCAGGGTGCCAGGTCCATCTAGGGTTAACCTTGCCTGCTGTAAACATAGCAGTTTCAGAGAAACTGCTATGTTTACATATGGGTTAATCCAGCCTCTAGTGGCTGTCTCATTGACAGCTTCTAGAGGCGCTTCTCACTGTGATTTTCACAGTGAGAAGATGCTTGGGTCCCTAGGAAAGCATTGAGTAATGTTTTCCTATGGACTGATTGAATGCACGCGGATGATGTCGGAAGAGGGAGGAGAGTCCCAGGTGCTGGAGAAAGGTAAGAATTTAACCCCTTCCTCCCCCTAGAGCCTTGCGGGAGTGGGACCCTGAGAGTGGGGGGGACCTATTAACACTATAGTGCCAGGAAAAGTTTGTTTTCCTGGCACTATAGTGGTCCTTTAAGGAGTATTACACTTTTATTACACTGCTTTCAGGCACAGGATTGGTCAGACTCTAGTATTAATGATTTTGGTGAGATTGTTACCCACTATATGGCTCCTGCACACTATTCTTTGCATTTTATCGAATGTAATTGTGTATACTGTACATGTGGTTCATACTAGGTATGGAACAAGGGAGAACTAAATGTTTCACTCCAAAGCAGTAGAAAAAAATGGAAAAAAGGTAGTAGTGTTAAAACAATCATCAAAGCTATTTGTGTAATTAAAAATAAATAAATTTAACATAAATCAAACTGTAAAAATGACTAAACTGTGTGTGAAGAAAGGGGTGAAACATACGGCATGGCTGATGAACACAGGACTTGAAAAACATGCTTTTCAGTCAGTTTGGAAAATAGTTTTCAGCGACCTTTCTGCTATGAATGAAAATTGTCTTGTGTGTACACTGCTACCTTTATTCCAGAATCACTTGGAAACTGGTAAATTCATCTCTTTCCAAGCCATCCATGTGTGTACTACCATGAAACGAAGTACAATCTCAAAGGTTTTAAGTGTAAAGGGCAGAGCAACTATTCTAAATCCAGGTCAAAGATTAAAGGACCACTCTTGAGGTAAAGTTATGAAGATCCTAAAAATCACTGGTTGGCTGAGGTGTTTAGTTAATTAATAATACAAGTGCAGATTTTTCATAGAAATCAGCACTTTTATAAAGTGCCTGTTTAATGGGAAATGGCTTGACCCATTTGGCAGCTCCGGTATCTTCCTCCCTCCTGGCCATTCCTCTTTAGCTGATTCTGCCCGAGTGGTATCTCTCAATCTCCCCCCTTCATGTTCTCTGAATCTCTTCTAGCTCTGTGTGCTACCTGCATGCACCCTGGTGTTACCATGGAAACCAATGTAAGCAGTGCTTCACACATTCTCTGCCAGATGAGATTCTGTTACTGGGGAAAACCTGTCAAAGGACATGTATCAGCGAGCATGCATAGAATTGCAGAACAGGATCACAGGGAAATTCTGGGCTCGGCCATAAAGCATTACGGAAAATATTCCTCTGAATGTTCTGCACTTGCTGCACATCCTTAAGATTTGTTACTCTGCAGTGAACCCTCTGTCGAAGTCAAGCCTTATGATGGCTGCCTAAGGGAGTTTTTAGCATAACCCATAAACCCCTGCTCAGCAGGCTAGTATAGTTGTTCCTTTTCTGGGGTACAGCCAAAGATTAGCTTTATTCACAAGATTTGGTAATCAGACTATTCAAACAGAGTAATGGAATCTGGCTTCATATGTTTAATGAATGTTCTTGCAAGCTGTACAGGCCTCAGAGTTGTACTTTGAAGGCTTTTGAGGATAATATTGCTGTTATGACACAAAGCAAAGGCTTCAGTGTAAATAAAGGAGGAAGGAATGTGACTAAAGGTACTGCAATGCCCGTTTAACCTATATATTACTCCTAGTGTATCGTCTTTTTTGTATTGAATGAAGGGATAACAAGGTATACCAGAACATGTGTGTGTTTAACCCCTTAAAGACCAAACTTCTGGAATAAAAGGGAATCATGACATGTCATGTGTCCTTAAGGGATTAAAGGGACACTATAGTCACCAGAACAACTACAGCTCATTGTATCTGTTCTGGTAAGCAGAATCATACCATTCAGACTTTTTGCTGTAAGCTCTATCTTTTCAGAGAAAATGCAGTGTTTACATTACAGCCTAGTGATAATTCCACTGGCCACACCTCAGATGACTGCCAGAGGTGCTTCCTGGGGCAGTGCTGCACAGTGAGCAGCACTGTCATTCAGTGTCTCCACCCTCTGCAGGCAGACTCTGAACTTTCCTCTTAGAGTTGAATGGATTCAATGTATCTCTATTAGGAGATGCTGATTAGCCAGGGCTTTGTTTGACATGTGCTGGCTCCACCCCTGATCTGCCTCCTTGACAGTATCAGCCAATCCTATGGGCGAAACATCGTTATTGGTTTAGACTACCACTTCTGATGATGACAGCAGGCAGATCAGAGCAAACGGGGGGAGAGCCAGCAGCTGCTTACTTTGAATAAAAGTAAGATTTTACTATATTTAGGGGGCAAGATTTGTGTTCCTGACCCTATAGTGTTCCCTTAACCTTTAGGCATGTTAATACTGTAAACATACAGAGTTATTCACAAAAGTGAGCATTCAAAGTGATTTTCAAATTTGAGGTAAAAATAGTTGTATTGCAAAAATTCTCTGACTCCAATATCCTTCCAGTTTTGCTACTTTTACCTTAAAGCGGCACTGTCATGGCTCCTCCTCCCAACTCCACCACACCTGGTCAACCCCAAATGCTCCTAGGCCAGGGCTTGACATATTTGTTTTGAATCTAGGAGCAAGCTAAAAAAGTTAGGAACTAGTCATTTTCAATGAGAAAAATGCAATTCTGAAAGGGACAATGTAGTCACCAGAACCACCACAGCTTGATGTAGTTGTTCTGATGTCTATAGCCTGTCCCTACATGCTTTTCAATGTAAAGGCAGTGTTTACATTGCTGCTTAGTCACACCTCTAGTGACAGTCACTCAGACGACCACTAGAGAATCCTGGATCACTGCTGCACAGCGTGCAGCACCCACGTTCAGTGTCTCCAAGTTCTGCATGGAGGTGCTGAATGTTCCTCTTAGAGAATCTTTAATTCAATGCATCTCCATGAGGAGATGCGGATTGGCACATTTGCTGCGCATGCACAAAATCCTCCCAATGCCTTCCTAAGATAAAGCATTGGCTTAGCTGAGATCATAAAGATTGGAGGTGGGACCAGCCGCGGCGACACTGGCATGGCATAGGGGAAAAAAGTGAATAAAAACACCTTACTCATGCAATCAGAGGTGGCAGGTACCTAAACACACATGCTCACTCTGACAAAAGACACACACTTTGGCAGGCTCACTCGCACGCATGCACGCACACTCACTCTGACAGGCTGTCACACACTCACATTTATGTTTTAATTGAAATCCATCCAGCCTCCCTACCTTTGGGAGAACTGAGTGGATCTTTCCCTAGGGTTCAGTGGGACTCCTTTCTTCCTGACATTGTATTCCGGCTCCCGGCATCATTAAACAGTTCGAGGGAGCAGAGAGGAACTGCAAGAAGAGTATTGCTCCCGCGGGCCGGCAGCCACCTCCATGCTGCATTGGCTGGCCGGCCACCTGCTTACTCCTCAGGGCGGGCTGCACCAATAATCCACGTGGCAGCGACCTCCTTTAAAGCGCCCTAACTAAAGAGCTGGCAAATCCCAGTCATAAGGGCGAAATGTCTAGTCGACCTGGCGCCTGGGATTTGTCGAGTCCTGCCCTAAGCCCTCCTTTTTAATGTTTATTTCGTGACAAGACCTAGGTCCTGGGCATTTGCTTTTTTTCCGAAATTCAGACAGGAATTTCGTCTAATTTATTCATTAGTCAAAAAGACGAATAAATAGAAGTTTGACACAAAGACCGAACGCCAGTGTTCGTTCAGCTTACGAACGGCTCGCTGATCTCTCTTGTGTCACCTCCACCTATAATACATAAGGTACCTACTATCTCCCTATCTCCTCCCCCACATTTTGATGGTAAGATTCAAGAATACCAGGGATTCCTTAATAAAATTGAGTATCATTTTGAGGCTTTGCTGGGATCCTTTCCCATGGATAGAGCTAATATTGGTTACCTAATGAACCAGCTTAACGGTAAAGCTTTAGCTTGGGCCAATCCATTGTGGGAGATTAATAGGAGTATTACACATAATTACCAGGAATTCCTTGTGGAATTCGAATTAACATTTGAACCATTAGGCAGGGAAGACGACGCCTCCATAGAATTTCGTAGAATTGTGTGTGTGTGTGTGTGTGTATATATATTATAAAATAATACTAGCCTTTGCACTCCTACCTCCAGCCAAATGACACCGGGTGCCTATCCACACTATAAACAGTAGAAAAAATTAAAAACTCGCCGGCACTCCTGGATTTTCAGTCAGGAAATTTTGTCACAAAGGTTGACGTTTCAGTTCCCAACATGAACTTTCATCAGTACACCTTGTGTATATAAAATATGCATGTATGTATACAGTGAGGGTAGTATTTGATCCCCTGCTGATTTTGAACATTTGCCCACTGACAAAGAGATGATCAGTCTATAATTTTAATGGTAGGTGTATTTTAACAGTGAGAGACAGAATGACAAAAAAAAAATCCCCCCAAAAATGCATGTGTAGTTCTAAATTGACTTGCATGTCAATGAGTGAAATAAGTATTTGAACCCTTTGACTTAGTACTTGGTGGCAAAACCCTTGTTGGCAAAGACAGAGGTCAGATGTTTCGTGTAGTTGGCCACCAGGTTGGCACACATCTCATGAGGGATTTTGTCCCACTCCTCTTTGCAGATCCTTTCAAAGTCATTAAGGTTTTCGAGGCTGACGTTAGGCAACTCGAACCTTCTGCTCCCTCCACACATTTTCTATGGGATTTATGGTCTGAAGACTGGCATGGCTACGCCAGGACCTTAATGTGTTTCTTCTTGAGCCACTCCTTTGTTGCCTTGTCTGTGTGTTTTGGGTTATTGTTGTAGCAGACCCACGGTCTGTTCGTGTGTTTCCCGCTTGTAATGTGTGTGTGTCCTCCCTTTATTTGGCTTATTGTATCCTGCTTCCCGTTCGGGAGCGTTCATGCGAGAGGCGCTCCTCCATCTCCCGAACGGGGGCCACCCCCAATAGCCCACTTAAAACCCTAGTTAGAATGTCTTTTAGAATGCTTTCCCTGGGTGACCGCCATTTCGTATAGATATACTCCATTCAGGGGGTGCTTTTGTGGATCGTTTCCCGAACGAGGACCTCCCTGGTGCCCCATTAGAACGTTCGCATTCGCAACAAAAGTGTGAAACCGCAAGTAATTGAGTGCTCCCCTGGGTGGCCGCCCTTTAGTATAGACTAACTGCACCCAGGGGGAGCGTTCGTAACCCGAAAGAGACGCTTCCCTTGCTAGATGTCCACACAGGGATCCCGCGAACAAAGACGGTTAGCGACAAGTGCCGTTGTGAGGGTCCCTGAGGTTGGTGTGGGCACTTTTGGGGCACTGGCTAGTGTGGCGGGCTAGTTTTTTCTGTGCAGAGGAGGCTCCTGGGAAAACAAGACTCCCTACCCTCCCCCCCCCCCTTTTCCCTGGGATCCCAGGGAGGGGGAGGAGCCTGGGATGTGACCCTGTATGTGTGTGTGTTGAAAACCCCTTGCATGGTGTTATGCATTAAAGCAGAGTGTGGCCAGTAAAATTGTGTTGTACCTCCAGAACTAGGTCTTGTCCAGTTACTGGGGGGAAATGGGTTTCTTAGTTCTTTAAGTGGTTCCAGAGCAGCGGAAGGAAGGCAATAGCGGAGTCCACTAAAATTGTCATCCTGGCATACCCATCCTTGACCCATTTTCAGTTCCCTGGCTGTGAAGGAAAGAGGTTCTCACCGAAGATTTAATGGTACATGGCCCTGTCCATCGTCCCTTTGATGAGGTGCCGTTGTCCATCCCCTTAGCAGAAAAACACCCCTAAAGCATAATATTTCCACCTCCATGTTTGATGGTGGGGATGGTCTTCTTGGGGTCATAGGCAGCATTCCTCCTCCTTCAAACCTGGCGAGTTGAGTTGATGCCAGAGAGCTTGATTTTGGTCTCATCTGACCACAACACTTTTACTAAGTTCTCCTCTGAATCATTCAGATGTTCATTGGCAAACTTCAGATGGGCCTGTATATGTGCTTTCTTGAGCAGGGGGACCTTGCGGGCCCTGCAGGATTTCAGTCCTTCACGGCATAGTGTGTTACCAATTGTTTTGTGGGTGACTATGGTCCCAGCTGCCTTAAGATCATTAACAAGATCCTCCTGTGTAGTTCTGGGCTGATTCTTCAGTGTTCTCATGATCATTGAAACTCCAAGAGGTGAGATCTTGCATGGAGCACCAGACTGTCAGTTATTGTGTTTCTTCTATTTGCAAATAATCGGACCAACTGTTGTCACCTTCTCACCAAGCTGCTTGGCGATGGTCTTGTAACCCAGTCCAGCCTTGTGTAGGTCTGACATGGTTGGACAGCTCTTTGGGCTTGGTCATGGTGGAGAGTTTGGAATCTTATTGATTGCTTCTGTGGACAGATGTCTTTTAAACAGGTAACAAGCTGAGATTAGGAGAGCTCCTAATCTCAGCTCTTTACCTGTATAAACACCTGGGAGCCAGAAATCTTGCTAATTGTTAGGGGATTAAATACTTATCTCACTCATTAACATGCAAATCAATTTATAACACGTGTTTTTCTGGATATTTTTTTGTTTTGTTTTGTTATTCTGTCTCTCACTGTTAAAATATACCTACCATTAAAATTATAGATTGATAATTTCTTTATCAGTGGACAAACATTCAAAATCAGCAGGGGATCAAATACTTTTTTCGCTCACTGTGTGTGTGTGTGTATCTTCAATTGTATAGAAATTTGTTATATACCGTATTTTTCGCTCCATAAGACGCACCTAGTTTTTAGAGGAGGAAACCCAGAAAAAAAAATATTCTGAACTGTTCCATAGTGTTTCTTACTATGGGACAGTTTGTTCAGAATATTTATTTTTTTTTAAAGGAATTTTTTGTTCCTTACCACCCACTCCCCTCTCCTGTCCCATAATGATCTTTAACCCTCCTCCCCTGTCCCATAGTTATTTTAACCACCCTTTCCTCTGTCCCATAGTGATTGTTAACCCCTCCTCCCCTTGTCCAATAGTGTTCTCGTCCCATAGTGCACTTTCCCTCCCATAGTGTCCACCCCTCCCCTTGTCCCATAGTGTCCCACCCTCCCCTTGTCCCATAGTGTCCCACCCTCTCCTTGTCCCATAGTGTCCCACCCTCTCCTTGTCCCATAGAGTCCCCCCCATCCCCCCCTTGTCACATAATTACTTACCTGTCTTGTAGCGTGGGCCGGCTTCACAGCACGCTCCGCGGTACAGGAACTTCAAGTTCAGGTTCCGGTTTCCGGCGGGACTGAAAGGAAGTGCACACTCAGTGTGCACACTTCCTTTCAGTCCCGCCGGAAACCGGAACCTGAACTTTAAGTTCCTGTACCGCGGAGCGCGCTGTGCTGCCGGCCCACGCTACAAGACAGGTAAGTCAAGCTTCACATTCGCTCCATAAGATGCTCAGACATTTCCCCTCACTTTTGAGGGGGGAAAAAGTGCGTCTTATGGAGCGAAAAATACGGTGTGTGTGTGTGTGTGTGTGTGTGTGTGTGTGTATATGTGTGTGTGTGTGTATATATATATATATATATATATATATATATATATATATATAAATAAAAATTCCTGAGCCCTTCCATAAAATCAATTTGAAGATACATTTGATGGTACTATAGGGGTGGTAGGGAAGCTGTTTGAGTACATGCATTGATGTGTGGAGTTCTTCTATACCTTTGTTTTAGCATGGATGCCACCACTTCTGGGTACTTTGCAGTCAGTAAACTGGTTTCCTTGCTGTTAGTTTTTTGGGGTGAATGTCTCACTCTTACTATAGCTAGCTTTTGTATGTATTCCCAAATAAACTACTTATTAGTTTGTTTAATTTTGGACTTTGTGCAGGTTATGTGCAACTTAATCATTCCACTGGCCTCTGGGCCATGATGGCTTTAGTGCAGCGGCTGCCATCATCTGTGTTTGAGGTGGTTATTGAAGCTGTCACTCTGCAGTTAGTGCATGATCTTTGTGATATAACTCAGAAGGATTATTTTCTGTGATGCCCTGCAGATGTATATTAAAATACCATTTTTCTTTCATCGTAGGTGGCAGCAGTACAGGATGCAAGTCGTCGTCCTCTCTCTGTCTGGCTGCACCCTTTGCCTTTGTCCCCACTGAGGCAAGCATGTCGAGTCAGCACAGCCACGCCCCTTTCTCCAGCCTTCAATCAATGGCTGATCATCAGCAGGTAATATTCTTTTGCTCCTCTTTGGACCAATGGAAATTGAGATTTTCTTTCTGACAACAATATTTCCTTTTGCCCCTGGAGCTTTCCGAAAATCCTATATAGACTGAACAATGGATTTAACCTAGCTTTTAATGGCAAACAAATTCTCCAAAATACAAATAAAGAAATGTGATGCATTGGCGCTTCCACATAACCTAGATATAGGTGTATGTTAAAAGGTTTTCTCCTCAATCACCTCAAGGTTACCTCTAAAAAGTACATCAAACAAAAACAATAGCTGTGAGATCGGCTCCAAGGTGTCTATACAGGCTAGGACTCCCACTGGGCAGGAACCACAGGTGTATACCGTATTTTTCGCTCCATAAGACGCACCTCAACATAAGACGCACCTAGTTTTTAGAGGAGGAAACCCAGAAAAAAAATATTCTGAACTGTCCCATTGTGTTTCTTACTATGGGACAGTTTGTTCAGAATATTTTTTTTTTTAAGGATTTTTTGTTCCTTACCACCCACTCCCCTCTCCTGTCCCATAATGATCTTTAACCCTCCTCCCCTGTCCCATAGTTATTTTAACCACCCTTTCCTCTGTCCCATAGTGATTGTTAACCCCTCCTCCCCTTGTCCAATAGTGTTCTCATCCCATAGTGCACTTTCCCTCCCATAGTGTCTACCCCTCTCCTTGTCCCATTGTGTCCCCCCTCCCCTTGTCCCATAGTGTCCCCCCCTCCCCTTGTCCCATAGTGTCCCCCCCTCCCCTTGTTGTAGCGGAGAGGCAGTATAATCCACAATATCTCCGCTGGGTAACAGGAACAACAAAGGATAATCCAGGGAATCGGCATACAATAATCCAAGTAGCACTGCAGTAACCCTTCCTTCCCAAGAACTAGACGACACATAGGCTGGGAGTCAACTGAGGTATTTTATTTCAGCTCCACAATTTATACAAGTCCCCATGCAAGGGGTTTCCTGAGTCCCCTCCCAGGGGCATTCCCAGAGGGGACTACATGGGGGACTTACTGTACAGGACATTTCTCCCATCAGGCACTGCTGCACAAGAGGGATCCTCCCACAGGAATGTACCGTTAAGTGGATTATCCCTCCGTGCAGCAGAACCTACAATTCGTATTAAAATGCATAACTCTCTGAATATATGGTCTATTTAAACGAATGGACGTTCGGTAGATAGCTGGGGACTGAGCGCATCGTTCCTGAGATTACCGCTCAGATCCCAGCTAAAACAACCGAACGCCTCACGAAAAACACATTCATTAAAACATATCTTCAAAAGACCGATTGTATGTAAGGGAACAGGATACCGAACGGCCCGGACCTCCCAAATGGCCTGGAAGCTCAGCGGTGTTCGTGCCGTCGAGTAGCCGTTTTTAGTACCATGCGCTCGACGACCAAACACCGCTGAGGGAACAAAGGATCCAAGATGGCCGACCGCCGCATGGTCGGTAGTCGAACGACGGCCACCTTGGAGAGCCTCTAATTACCGATTGCAACATTGTTGCAATCGGTTAATAGGCGCCACACACCTCTAAGTGTGTGGGCTATTAAATGATGGTTTGTTCGGTTCACGAACGGCCCGCAAAGGTGCCGTTCGTGAAACGAAAGGGAATCAGCTATCTGCTTTCGGCAGATAGCCCAGGCAGGAAATACAGTATTACAATTGCATTACATTACACGCTGGAACACATATAACATGAAAACCATACAGGCAACCCTTAAAGCGACAGTACATAAATAATGTCCAAGTGGCTAGGTTTGCCACACTTGTTCCATAGTGTCCCCCCTCCCCTTGTCCCATAGTGTCCCCCTCTCCCCTTGTCCCATAGTGTCCCCCCCTCCCCTTGTCCCATAGTGTCCCCCTGTCCCATAATTACTTACCTGTCTTGTAGCTTGGGCCGGCTTCACAGCGCGCTCCGCGGTACAGGAACTTCAATTTCAGGTTCCGGTTTCCGGCGGGACTGAAAGGAAGTGTGCACACTGAGTTTGAACCTGAAATTGAAGTTCCTGTACCGCGGAGTGCGCTGTGCTGCTGGCCCACGCTACAAGACAGGTAAGTAAAGCTTCACATTCACTCCATAAGACGCACAGACATTTCCCCTCACTTTTGATGGGGAAAAAAGTGCGTCTTATGGAGCGAAAAATATGGTACTTAATTGAATAGTTGAAATGTCTCAAATGCCCTATAATATGCACACAAACTTACATAATCTGTTTATAATACTTTCGATCATAATTTGTCATCTGCAGTTCAACCTCTAGCAGTCATTTGTGATGTCAAATGCATAGTCCCAAAAATTATGTTTTTAGGTTTCCCCAGTCAAGTTCTTTTATTAAAAAAAAAATCATAATAGTTGCATTATTTGGTAAACCAAGCCATTATTCTGTCATAATTAATAGCCCCCACTTTGCTTCTCAGGTCCTGCCAGACATGACCATTTTACAAAGGCGGATTCCCTTAACCTTCCGAGATTCATCAGCCGCACCGCTACGGAAGCTTTCAGTGGATTTAATAAAGACTTACAAGCACATAAATGAAGTAAGTACTAAAATGCATAAATTGCTTGGGAGAAGACATGTTATGCTGAATTTTAACTCCTTATGGCAGTATCAAAGTTACACTGCAATTGGTGTGCAAGTCCTAAACCTATCATCACTATATTTTGATTTTTCTCATGTTTAAGGGGACACTATAGGCACCCAGACTACTGCAGCTCATTGAAGTGGTCTGGGTGCAGTGTTCCCGTCACCATAACCTCAGTGGTAATTATTGCACTTTTTAAGAAACTGCAATAATTACCTTTGAGGGTTAGTGCCACCTCTGGTGGCTGTCTATCAGCCAATAGTGGGACCTTAGTGGTTGTTAGGCAACGTTTGGTCATCTAACTGATGCTGGATGTCTTCCTGCTATTGGGTGTGGTCCTATTGCAAGCCCAGTCATTGCATTACTTAATGTTACCATCTCCTTAAATAGTAGCCTTAGCGACATACGAAAGAAGGTGGATTGTTGTACATCTTGTACAATGCTTTGACCTACATATCTACATTAAGGTAGTCATGTAAAGAGCAGAAGGATAGTAGAAAAAAGCAAGAAAAGGAAAGAGGTGATGGCAGATGAGGAGAGGGTGGAGGAGTGCACAAGTCTTGTGTATGCAGCGTTTGTGAGGGTAAGTGCTGGAACGTGTCTTTCCATACTCTCTGGAACTTGGGCAGGAAGCCCAAGGTTCATTGTGACATTTCTTCATAGATTCTGGTTTTGACAAGGCTCGAACCATTTCCCTCGTGGACATAGTGGTTGTTTTTCCAAAAAGAGACCATAGCTTTCTTAGATTTGATCACAAGATGTACTATCGTAGTGTTAGGTGGGCCTTTAACCTTGTCCTGGAACATTTCCAGTAAATTAGCTTTAGGAAGAAACAGAAGCTTCGTCTTTGTTGCGAGGGTGATGTCTTTTACTGAGGATCAGAATTGTTATAAGCGGGTTATCCCCCAAAAATATGGATTTTTTTTCTCAAATTTGAGAATAGTCTGCGAACTCCCAATGGCCTAAACATCTAGTGGCTCCATGTGTCATAATGCATTTTCACATTCTTCTATGGTGACTGTCTCCTAGGTTATCATTAAGGGAAGTTTGGCTGAACCTGACACTGAGACTTGCTGATGGTAGCATAGTGAGAGGTTTCCTGGTGTACTTTATAGAATAGCACAGTTTCTCCAGTTTCTCAAAGTTAATGAGATACAGGTAGTTTAGGGATAATATTCTATTTATTATTAAAGGGACAATAGTCACCAAAACAACTTTAGCTTAATGAAAGCTTTGGGTATATAGATCATGTCCCTGCAGTCTCACTGCTCATTTCTCTGCGATTTAGGAGTTAAATCACTTTAGTTTCTGTTTATGCAGTCCTAGCCACACCTCCCCTGGCTGTGACTCACAGAGCCTGCATGAAAACAAAATGGTTTCAATAAGATGTGGGGAAAAAATTGTGATTGAAAACCCCTTCCACCTGAAGTCTGTGGATAGTTAATACAAGGTTAAACAAAAATCTGCACACCAGTCAAGCCATAAGACTTGCTTTTCCCACAGAAATCCCAAAACTTCAGCGATGTTACATATATATATTACTATAAAAGTTTTTACCCCCTGCTCTATAAATTGAACTTTAACCACATAGATGGCTCCTGCAGCGTCTAGCAAGCTATTAACAGAGCTGGAGATAAGAAATTTTAAATTAAACATAATTTGCAATAAACAAAATGTAAAGATTAGATGACTCTTTACAAGTAGTGTTTAGGAAGGCAGTGTAAGTCACACTAAGCTAAAGTTGTTTTGGTGACCATAGTGTCCTTTTAAGATGTTTTTTTTTTATGTATGAGAAAAGTTCTGTAAGAGGTAGATGGTAATTCTCTTAGTGTATGAAAAGACTTTATGCCTGTTTACCCACTGTTTTTAAAGTAATACAGGGTAGCTTTTTCGCCAAAAATAAACTTTTTCTAATCTTTCTATATCGCTCCCTGTATCTAAATATACTTTTCCTTATGCATAGCAATCAAGTAGACAAAACTTGATAAGCAGATCTCCGGGTTATCCAAAGCACCATGACCACTTCATTGGTTTGATGTGGCCATGGTGCCTGGAGTCTGTATGCGCAGTTTTTGCTATGAATGAGTCACATCCCGGAACAGGCGTTGCTAGCGCTGCATATATAGAAACATTACAAGGAGACGATAGCCAACTGAAAATAGATATTAACCATTTAATTGTATTGATTTGTTTGGAGTGCCCTGGCACTGTCCCTTCATTCAGTGTTTAACCATTTTCGAGCAGTTTAATTCTGATAAAGATTTCTGGTCTCCACTAGCAATGTAGTTAAGGATGTACCAGCAGTGGGTGCTTTGAGTGGCTGAAAGCAGTCAGCTGACACTCCAGAATTAACCCCTTAAGACCGGAGGGCGTACTATTACGCCCTATTCTAAGCGGCTCTAAACGCCGCCGGGCGTAATAGTACGCCCTCCGGTCTTTTCCTACTTACCCGGTCACCGGCGTTCGGGGGACTCCCAGGGAGCCCCCTGCGGCATGTCCGTCCTCCTGGAAGCCCCCCGGCCATGTGAGAGTGGGGTCCTTGCGAGGACCCCACAATCACATGGCCGGGGGTAGCTGGCTGCAGCATTGCCAGCAGGGGGGCTGCCTGTAATGACAGGTGGTCCCCCTGCTGGCTGAAAATAAAATTAAAATAAAATAAATAGTGTAAAAAAAATAATAATATATACTTATATATATATATGTATGTATGTGTGTATATATATATATATATATATATATATATATATTAATATCAAATTACACGTAGACTGATACTGATTAAATATATATAATATTATTGCTATATATATATTTATATATAATATAAAAAAATAAAAATGTAAATACGTTAAAAAATAAAATTAAAAAAATAATTTAAAAAATTCATTTAAAAATATATAGATGTGTGTTATTTCGTTCTAACTGTATTGTGAAATTTATATATATATATATATCAAAATACACGTAGAACGAAATAATATATAGATCTATATACATAAATATCTACGTATATATCACTATATATATACCTATATATAAATAAAAATATAAAAAAAATTATATAGATATATACATATATATACACATACGTGTATATATATATATACATATATTAATTCTACATATATATTTATGTAATATTTTTACATAATTAGGTATCTTAATTACAATTAGCGGGACCTGCCTGACAACCCATGCCGAAAGTAAAGGGAATTTAATTTGCTAGCACTATATTTAACCCTATAACTTTCCAAGACACCATAAAACCTGTACATGGGGGGTACTGTTCTACTCGGGAGACTTCGCTGAACACAAATATTAGTGTTTCAAAACAGTAAAATGTATTACAACGATGATATCGCCAGTAAAAGTGAAGTTTTTTGCATTTTTCACGCACAAACAGCACTTACACGGACGATATTATTGCTGCAATACTTTTTACTGTTTTGAAACACAAATATTTGTGTTCAGCTAAGTCTCCCGAGTACAACAGTACCCCTCATGTACAGGTTTTATGGTGTTTTCAAAAGTTACAGCGTCAAATATAAGGCTTGCGTTTCATTTTTTTCACATTAAAATTCGCCAGATTGGTTACGTTGCCTTTGAGACCCTATGGTAGCCCAAGAATGAAAATTACCCCTATGATGGCATACCATTTGCAATAGTAGACAACCCAAGGTATTGCAAACGGGGTATGTCCAGTCTTTTTTAGTAGCCACTTAGTCACAAACACTGGCCAAAATTGGCGTTTTTTGCATTTTTCACACACAAACAAATACTAACACTAACTTTGGCCAGTGTTTGTGACCAAATGGCTACTAAAAAAGACTGGACATACCCCATTTGCAATACCTTGGGTTGTCTACTATTGCAAATGGTGTGCCATTATGGGTGTAAATTTCATTCCTGGGCTAGTATACAGTCTCAAAGGCAACGTAACCAATCTGGCGAATTTCAATTTCAAATGTAACGTGCTATATTTGACCCTGTAACTTCCCAAAACGCCATAAAACCTGTACATAGGGGGGAACTGTCTTACACATGAGACTTTACTGAATACAAATATGTGTACTTTATTGCAGTAAAAGCAAACCGTATTATGACATTGACCGTTAAAATGTCATGTAGAACTAAAAAAAATAAAAAAAATCTCATTTTTTCCCATTTTTTTTCATATTAAATTATGTTTCATAGCTAAATATTTGATATTAAATGAAAGCCCTGTTTCCCCTGAATAAAATGATATATAATAAGGGTGGGTGAATTTACTATGAAAGAGGTGAATTACGGTTGGACAGACATGTAGCGCAAATGCCAGGTTTTGTTTACATTTTGTTTTTTTCACAACGTGTACATTTGGTTCCGTCCTTAAGGGGTTAAATAGATGTATGTAATTTATTGATTTTAGGAGTTTGGGTTTTGGAAGGGGATGGAGTATTTTAGGGGTTTGAATTTTTTGAATGCATTGTGTAAATAACATATTATAATACGGTGCTAATGTTCAACTAGACAATCCATGTAACATTCTTTAAAGGAACACTGTAGGGTCAATAACACAAATATGTATTCCTTACCCTATAGTATTAAAAACACCATCCCCCACCCCACCTACCCCTTGCCTTCCCTACATAAAGTATATTCTTATCTTTACTCCAGTCTGCTGCTGGCTCTACCCATGACCTGCCTGCTTGGCTGACATCATCAGAAGTGTTGCTCAATACCAATCACGATGCTTTCCCATAGCAAAGCATAGGATTGGCTAAAACTGTCAAGGAGGCAAATCAGGGACAGAGCCAGCCCAAGCCAAACACAACACTGGCCACATAGAGATGAATTGAATCAATGAATCTCTGAGAAAAGTTCAGTTTTTACATGCAGAGGGAGGAGATACTGAATGTCAGTCACGCTGTGCAGCACTGCCTCATGAAGCACCTCTAGCAGTCATCAGAGTAGTGGCCAGTGGATGTATCCCTAGGCTGTAATGTAAACACTGCATTTTCTCTGAAAAGACAGTGCTTACAGCAAAAATCTTGAAGGCAATGATTCTACTCACCAGAACACAATACAATAAGCTGTAGTTGTTCTGATGATTACAGGGTCCCCATATTCTGGTCTATTTACAGCAACATTTTCAAAGTGTGATATGAGAAATATTTTCTTTCGCAACTATTCAGGTGTATTACGCAAAAAAGAAGCGCAGAGCCCAACAAGTACCGCCTGAGGATTCCAGCACAAAGAAAGAGCGCAAAGTGTTTAATGATGGCTTTGATGATGACAACTATGATTATATTGTGAAAAATGGGGAAAAGTGGATGGACAGATATGAAATAGATTCACTGATTGGAAAAGGCTCGTTTGGACAGGTGGGTGAATTTTTCTTTTACAGTGTCGCTGTTGTTTCCGCATTTGAGCACCTTTAATTTTAGGTTTCATAGAAGAATGTGCCTATGGTCTAAGATTACTTATAAAATCAGAAAAGAGCACATAAACTACTACTAAATCTTTGCAAACAATTTAGACAGACATCCAATAAAACAAATTCTTTTAATATCCTCCCAAACCAGTCCTCATGGCACATCAACAATCCAGGATTTCTCAATTTTTCATTTTTATTCCAATGGAGATACTGACAAAACTTGTACTGTTTGTTTGTCATGAGAACTGGTTTGGGAACCACTTGTCTACAGCAAAAACAAGAATGAGTCTCCTCTATTACATATAATATAGAATATAATACAAAGCATCTTTATGCAACATAATTAGCTAACATAAAGGAAAGCAAAATACCAATTGGATACAATTACAAGAATGTATATATAATAGTGAAGGGGCCAGAGTTAGCCAAGGAAAGTCTTCGTCAAAAAGCGTAAAATGGATGTTGTAAAAGTAATGAAGCAGACAGTGTGGGAACGATAATTCGTAAATATAAGGATATCAAAATCTCTGTTGTAACCCTGAATACTGCCAAATATAAAGAAAATTATCATTTAGTAGCTATACCCCTAAATTTTGAACCCATCCCCCCCTACCAATTCTGCCCAGACTTTATGTGGCTGTCCAATCACAGACTTCCAATGCAGCTCAATGAGAAGTCTTTGCAAGGCAAATGCTGCTTCTTGAATTTATCTCCACTAAACTAAACTCCCTTTTATAAAATTGTAAATTTTTGTTGAAATCTGCACTTTTTGTAAAAGGAAAAGAGAGAACCATTTTCACTCATAAAGCACTTCAGTTTCTTATTTGTGTAGCAGGGGTAGTCATCCTTTTAAGACCTACCACCCACTTTTGTATCTTTGTTGACGGTAACATTTCCTTACCCCCCCACCAGTGCCGCAGTAACTAATTTTATAGCGCAAGTGCGATTTTATGTATTAATTTTTTACATTTTGTTTAGAAAGGTGGTTTTCTTTTTACTTTTTAAAATATGAACTTAAATTTATCTAAAAATTTTTCTATTTTCTCTTCGATTTTTTTTTTGTGTGTGTTTTGTGTTAAGGGTGTATTGTTTGTGTGAAGGGTGCTGTACGAGGGTGAGAGGGTGAGAGGGTGTATTGTGTGTGTGTAGCGTGAGATGTGAAAATCTATCTTAATGTCTACCCCTTCCTTCTTACCTTTTACCAGGGAGGGGCCACATAATGCTGGAAGCCCTGGTGGTCCAGTGGTGGCATGTCAGTTTAGCCTGCAGTTTCTCTGACAGCACTGCAGAGCACAGCACTGTATTGAAGCGTTGCCATGGTAATGTGCGGCAACACTCTGACCGGCCTACTCGCGGGAGGGACACAGAGCCTCCCAGGCCCTTCCCTCCCTCTAATGAACGAAGTGCCAGTGGCCCGGTGAGGGAGATCTTTGATCTCCTCACCAGCTTGAGAGGGCTTACAGCAATGCTGGCTCTGCATGGGCGGGCACTGGAGACTCACATGGTCCACAGCCATCGAGGCCCACTGGGCAGCCATCGAGGCCCACTGGGCATTTTCTGTAGAACCCACCACTGCCCACCCGAAATCCCAAACCAGACCCCTGGTGTAGAGTGTTCCTTTAAGTACAAGACTAGGGCAGGGGTGCCCACAATTTTGTGTCATGATCTACGTTTTAAATGACCAGCTCGACAAGATATACTTGCAAAAAACTTCTTACAAAAAAAAGGATACTACTGCATGTATCTTCATATGAATTAATCTAGTAAAATAAAAAAAAATAAAAAACCCTGCCACCCCCCTCTCTACAAACCCCCTGTCCAGCTCCATTAAAAAAAAAAAAAAGAGCAAGAGAAAATCAGCAAACAGGCCCTTTACTCGTAAGTAATGTCTGCTTGCTGCTTCCTGCCTCAAAGGTCCACCGCCTCAGCACTGCCTGCATCCAGTGTCAAACGGATCCTTCTGCTTCCTGGAAACACTGCAAAGAAAGGCCGAACATGTCAACGCGGTGGTGTAGCTAGAGCTTTTGCCGCCCAGGGTGGTCCCCAAGTTTGCTGCTTCTCACAGCCCGACCTCATTACGAATCGACTCCGCGCCAGTTGCGTTTTGAGATGTACAGGGATATGACATGCTTCATATCCTCGTCCCCTCCACACAGACTGTGGCATGTGTATTTGTAAACTGTTAACGTTGGAATGCAGGGGTGTATTTGTGTGCAGTGTTGGTGTTTGAATGCTGGACTGTATACATTGCCACACACAGATACCCACATGCGTGTGCAGCCAGACAATTAGACATACATACAGGTACACACACGGCGCACACAGACTCTCCGCTATACACACACACTGATTGGCGCGCTGACTCTCCACTACGCGCCTGGGGACACATCTATAAATAGCTATTATTTAATTTATTTTGTAAAGCTATCTTCCTGTTTACTGCCGGGGGTGTTCTTGTGGTTCAGTGGGAGATGAGATAGATAGGAGTCAGACTCTATGCTTCCCCAGTTCCTCCCATTCTCACCATGTGGCACCCTGTTTGCTGGGAGGAAGTGACCTGAATTCACTTTCTCCCAGCAGGCCATGGGAAACTCTATCCTTTGCAGTATTAAAGGGCAGTAATTAAGTGTTGTGGCTTCCAGTCCCTTGCAGACCTTTTCACCCAAGTCCGAGGGCCATGCCAGCCGTGCATGCTCCATAGCCCCCAGTTACACCAATGCGTCAGTCATGTTGGTGTGGCGTTGTGCGCTTTCTGGCACCTGCATGATCTTCCTAAGCTCCTCCACATAATCAGGTAGTGCTGTACCCTCACCTCACAGCTAATTAAAGAGCCGTCTGTGATCTACCGATAGACCTATTGGGCACCCTTGGTCTAGTTTATTGTTGAAAAGTCAACTCGTAAGAAAATAGCTAAGCCTGATATATTAAGATCTATATATGTATGTATATTTGTCTCTTGTTGTTGAGTGGCTCACCTGATATTATATATAATTCTTCTGTCACTTTCCTGGCTTTTCTTATGAAAGAGATTCATTCTTCTTGCTTTGCAAATACAAAGACCGCACTTATGTCATTAAATAAACACTACAGTGTCATGAACACAAACATGTATTTCTGACCCTATAGTGTTATAAAAAATGCCATCTGGCCCCGTCTTACCCCCATAAATATAATATCTTACCTTTATTCCAGTCTGCTGCTGCTAGCTCTGTGCCAATCACAATGCTTTCATAATGGAAAGCGATGTATTGGCTGAACTTGTCAAGGAGTCAGATCAGGGGCAGTCTCTGCACAAGCCAATCAGCATCTCCTCATAGAGATACATTGAATCAATGCTTCTGTATGAGTAAAGTTCAATGTCTGCCTGCAGAGGGTGGAGACACTGAATGTCAGTCACACCGTGCAGCACTGCCCCAGGAAGCATCTCTAACAGCCACGTGAGGAGTGGCCAGTGGAGGTATCAAAGGAATGATTATACTCACCAGAACAAATATATTAAGCTGTAGTTGTTCTGGTGATATAGTATCCCTTTAATGTTAAATAGGTCAACAGCTGATTATATATTCTGGACATTCAGAGTGTGAAGACACTCTGCCCGTGATGTTGTGGTGTGTGTGTGTGTGTGTGTGTTTTACAGGCATGAATCCAAAAGACGTCTTGTCAACTCCTCTTATTTGAACAAGTACATGATCAGTAGTTTGCCACTTGAGTTGTGACACTGAATGCACAATATGCAAAGTGAGCCGGTGTGGGCTTCTCAAATTTAAATGTGGGTTTCTGAACGTCGTTTAGTTAGGATTTCTAGTTTTGTTGTTTCGCCAACATCTGTGTCCACATTAGCATTTAGACATTAAGAGTATTTTTCTAATTATGTAAATGAACCCAGTTTAGTATGGAGGATGTTAATACAGTTTTGTGTGTGTGTTTTTTTTTTTTTTTTCATTTATCTTATTAGATGGCTATATTAAAGAACACATTCCACAAATATATAGCACTTCAGCTTGTGGAGGTGCTTTCTTGTGAAAACTGTCTTTTAAAGACTTCTCATTGAGCTGCATTGGAAAGTCTGTGATTGGACAGCCGCAGAAAGCCTGGGCGGGGTAGAAGGGGAGGGCTTACAAAGGCTGCAACCAAGAGATCTGTAATTTTTACAAACTGGTTTTGAATATGCCCCCGATGCATAGAGGTAGTTAATGTTTGTGTGCCATTTACTAAGTTCCACCTATGGGTGGCTCTAACAAATGTGCAATTCAGTATGTGTCTAAACTGTGTGTCTTTTGGTACTTAGAGTTGCCAAATACCCTGTTTTCAGGTCAGTGTTGCAGAGCCCACTATGGTGGAATAAATTTCCTTTTGATATGTATTGTCATAGTCCAGGGTCTGTTGGCGCTCCATTTTTCCTAGCTTGTGTTGATTGTACTTGCTTTGCATTTGGTCCCAACTATGTAAAAAAAAAAAAAAACACTTTTTCCTGCACATTTCAAATCATTTCCCTTTTTTTTTTCCCTGCATAGAAAATGAGCTTTCTCTTGCTTCTCCTATAAACTAGTGGCGATCACCTGAATTAGATCACACAATTGCTATATTCATAACTTTTGCCTTCAATAAGCACAGATGATACCATGGTCTTTCTACTAATAATTTTAACTGTTAAAACCTGCAGGTGGTTAAAGCGTACGACCATCATGACCAAGAATGGGTCGCTATCAAAATCATAAAGAATAAGAAAGCCTTTCTGAACCAGGCTCAAATTGAGTTGAGACTTCTTGAGCTAATGAACAAACATGACACAGAGATGAAGTATTACATAGGTATGTATTGTACAGCTGCCAGTGTGAGCCAGTTATGGCACAAGGTCATTCTTCCATATGGCTGGTATTTGTATCTGCCAAAAACAAGAATAATAGGTTGCGCTACAAGAATATCAAATAAAAAGGGATAAATATGGAAAACACTTATAACGTAAAAGAAAGATAATATGTATAAAAAGAAGGGAATTTAATAAATTTATATAACTAATATGTATGAAAGAAGATAGTCCAAATTCTTGATATACTTTAAAAAGTTCAAATAAATGGATGATAGTGACAGTACTTGGTATATTTCTCTTTCAGGTTCTGGTAAGTATTTGGAAGTAGAAAGTCCAATAAGAGGCTGAATCTTCTAATCTTTAGAGGAGTCTTGATTCAGAGATGAACATGGAAAATATAAACAACAAAGACGATCCAATAGTGTAGACTGTCTGTGATAATTAATAATGATAATAGGTAGGTAGGTAGTACACTCACCTATCTTAGAGCATGAACTTGCTCTAGTATTTTGGGCGTTCAGTGGCGTTTATCCCCCACTGGTAGGATATAGGTGAAGGTAATTCCTCGGTAAAAAAGGAGATAAAAGCAGAATATAGTGCTCACTGAATCAAAATAAAGTAAAATAAAATAAAAGAATAAAAATACTCACATTCGAATGAGCAGGATAAACTGCTCAATATATTCGCATAGGTGGTACAATCCCCACCTAGGATTCTTGGTCGTGGGTAGATTCCAAGTTGGTGAATGACCAGGTGACAGGAAATATTTTTAAAACAAAAAAATTATTTTAAAAATCAGAAAAGAAGGTATATGGCAAAGTTGTTGTAAAAAAGCCACTATTCCTTTATTGATACAATAAAAAATATAAAATATATGTAAAATAGCCAAAACGCGTTTCGCCACACAGGGCTTTATCAACTGGCAATAATAAAAAATCAGCCTGGTACATAGATACTTTTATAAACTATGATAAAACATGCTTATTCGAATTTTGGCGCCAAAATGACGTCATCCATACAGTGTGTAAAAAGCAAAATGATTCATTACATGAAAATACTTAAAAATACAAAATGCATAGTATTTATAATTTAAAATATAAGGTAATACATAATAATTAATAGTAAAACGAGTGTTATTTGTTGAAATAATAGATTAAATCGAGAATCATGTGATCGCAATCTAATGCGATCACATGGTGAACACTGGGGCAGTGTGGGAAATGTAGTAACAAGGGAGAGAGCAAGAATAGATGGTCACGTGATCGCGGACCTTCGCGATCACGTGACTGATTGCACACATCGATATGGAATGTAGCCACTCAGACGGAGGTCGGCAGCCTGCGGCACGCCTCCGTCTGACATCAATGGTGGGGGCGGTGTATACCGCAAAAGCTCATGGGATATGTAGTGTTCAGACGGAGGCCGGCAACAAGAGGCACGCCTCCGTCTGACATCTACAAAAAAGGGGCGGCGCCTAATGCCGATCGAAATACACCTTGTGAAAATAAAATAAAATTAAGTGGCATAACAGCCATGATAAAAGCAAATATGAATAAGACAAATATGAGTATATTAGGCAAATATGAGGTTAAAAAACAGATTTTGGGTATGTAGAGAAATAAAAAAAAAAGAATAATAGGACTAAAGGAAAAGGTGTGTATGTCTTTTCTTATGTATATAGGGCAAAACTGTAACAATGTAGGTAAATGTTTGTAATTAAGTGAAATTTCATTAAGAAGCAATGCATATATATATATATATATATATATATATATATATATATATATATATATATATATATACACACATACACATCTTGGTATTAAAACTGATTTTTCTGTATTCAGCATTCTTTAAATGTGTCATTTTCTGAATCAGTTTTAGAATAGCCCCTATACATTTGGGCACAAAAATAAATAAAATAAAAAAAAAGGAAATTAAAAATTATTTTATAAAAAATTAAAAAGGTCAAATTCAGCGTTCAAGCCTTCAGGAAAAAGAGTCTTAAGTGTAAAAACCCAGTACATTTCTCTTTTTCCTAAGGTTTTTACCATATCTCCACCTCTCCATGGGAGAGTAACTTGTTCTATACCAGTTACTTTTAGGAGTGTCGGGTCTTTATTATGTATTAAAAAATGCTTGGAAACTGAGTGATTCTCATAACCTCTCCTAATGTTACGGCAATGTTCTGCTAATCTCACTTTAAGGCATCTTTTAGTCATGCCCACATATTGCAGCCTGCATGGGCATTCCAATAAGTATATCACATTTTTGGTATTACAACCTATATATTCTTTAATTGTGTAAGAGGTTTTAGTAATGTTGGAGGCAAAATGAATAGTTTTAGAATTTGTAATTCCTTTAGTCGTTCTACACACAATACATGTGTTACACTTAAAACAACCTTTTGGTCTAGATATACATTTGTATCTGCACCTACCTGAAGACAGTCTTACCATTTGTGCATTTTGTGATATTATCTTCAAAACATGTCTCTCAAAGTTGTATGCGCAGAAATTATTCACTGTTTTTTTAAGGAGTTCCAAAGACGAATCTTCAGGTTTATGTGGGTTTCAGGAAATCCTGGTTATAAGCTGAAAGGGGATTAGCATATCCTGCTTTCTATAGAAAAAAAATGATCACCCATTAGTTTGGCTCCTTGTTCCTATTTTTGACTGGAAGGTGACGTTTGTGCCTTTTACATGTTTTGTTGTGTCACTAATTCTGAATAGAACTCATTCTGTGTGTTTGCTATGAGTAACGTGAAACCACTGATGCTTGCTTTCTGAGAAGGTTCCTCAAATTGTGACTTTCTCTTTCAGTCTTCTCAGCAATGGTTTTATCTTTTATCTAACGCCAGTGGAATTCTTTGGGTTGGAAGGGATATTTTATACAGAATTAGCTGTTTTGCTAAATTGTTTACCATCACATTTAGAGGTTTCTACAACAAATGTAAATTTTAATCATTCTATTTCAGTGCATTTAAAACGGCACTTCATGTTTCGGAACCATCTGTGTCTGGTGTTTGAACTGTTGTCGTACAACTTATATGACCTTTTACGAAACACAAACTTTCGTGGCGTTTCCCTGAACTTAACTCGCAAGTTCGCCCAGCAGCTTTGTACAGCACTGCTTTTCTTAGCTACTCCTGAGCTTAGTATAATTCATTGTGACCTGAAACCTGAGAACATCCTACTTTGTAATCCCAAGAGAAGTGCCATCAAAATCGTGGACTTTGGCAGTTCCTGCCAGCTTGGACAAAGGGTATGTTTTATCACAGCCATTTCCTAATCTTTTAGATTAACTTGATACAAGGATGGTAAACAAATTCAGGATACTTGCACAGTAGATTTAATTTTGTAGTTGTTTTCTTATTATATTGTAGCTTGTGAATTGACAGCATCCCATTCACACCTTTGCAATTCCTAGTTTCAAATGTGATCTGGTGTCCTTTTGATTAAACTCCCTTATAAGTGTTACATGCCGTTAAGTATATTTAGCATTTTGTTATTAAGAAGTGCGTTTATGAATTTTAAAAATGAAATGTGGCAACATGTGTGGGGGTGGGTGTGAGGTGCTCTTGCTCCTCCAATTCAATTACCTAAAAAATATATATGTTATCTCAAAGATCTACCAGTATATTCAGAGCCGCTTCTATCGTTCTCCCGAAGTTCTGCTGGGAATGCCCTACGATTTGGCCATAGACATGTGGTCTTTAGGGTGTATATTGGTGGAAATGCACACAGGAGAGCCTTTATTCAGCGGATCCAATGAGGTAAGCAAACTCTAAAGTGTTTCTTGCATTAGAAATGTGTTTTTAAAGCAGGAGTGTCACCTTTTCTGGAAGTGCTTTGTTATCCAGCTCCAGTAGACATTGCAACATTTTCTAGGGTAAATAAATTAGTAAACGTATATTTAAACCAAAAAATAAAACCTACCTATTATGTGAATTTGGATTGACTTCACTGTTTTGTGCTGTCATGGACACACTCATACATGCGCTGAAATGCTGTACTAGTCCATATGCTCTTGTATTTCTTCAGCAGTACCACAACTGTGTTGTGTTCGGTACTGCATTTGTTAATTCAAGGTAAAAAATAGGACCACTTGAGCTGTAAAAAAAAAAATTACATAGCCAATAGCTATATTTTTTAACTATTCAGTTGTGAAAAATCTAACATGTGACCTCTTCATTTCAAGTATTTTATTTATTTTCAAGTAAGAAGTGTTTGATTACTTTCTCATGAACGGATAGGCTCTTTGCTTGCATGAAGAGATATTTTTTGCTTTCCGTGCCCTCAGAAACAGTCCTCTAACTTGCACTGTTGAGGCTTACTTATTTTGTTTTATAGGACTTTTAGGTAGCACATTCGGTGCGTCTCTTTTGTTGTCAGATTTTAGTTTGCATTGTGAGCCTTTCACACAGCCAAGTGCCATGGTACAAAGAATGTAAAGCCAAAACTAAATGTTCAGTTGTGCCACAATATAGATTAAGTGAGAGTCTCTCCAGAAGTCTGAGGATTTTTTACTTTTTAATTAGGCAAATAGTTTGAACATTTTATGTCCCAGAATAGATTTATGTATCCTATTTATGCTATAGAAAATAAATTCTCCTGAAGACCATATACTGTTCTGTGAATTAAGCTTTGCTTTAATGGTGATACATTGTAACTTGAATGGAATCCTGATTCAGCTAGTTCATGTGACACGTGTTCTCATAACAAGATTACCGTTTCCTGTATTCAGGTAGATCAAATGAACAAGATAGTAGAAGTTCTTGGGACTCCTCCAACTCACATGCTGGACCAGGCCCCAAAAGCACGGAAATACTTTGACAAACTTCCTGAAGGAACATGGACTGTAAAGAAAAATAAAGATATCAAAAAGGTAACATTCCTGCGGAGTAAATAGATGTGCCGAGACAAACCGTTTCACTCTGCATAATCTACAAATTCTCAGTCATGGACTTGGCAAAAACCTATTTTTTTATTTTTATTTTTTTTAATTTGTGAATTACTTTTTATTCAAGATTTTGTGTTATTACAGAAAGAAGAAAGACAGGTGTTTAGTCCGGAGAAATGCACAGGTTTAAAATTTTGGCATTCAGAGCTCATTGACTTGAGATACGCAGATCTCACATTGTATATTGTTATCATAGCAATTTACATGTCAGGCAAAAACCTTTTTATTTAAATGCGTGCGGGTGTGTTTGTGTTGATGCTTGGAGAAGGGTACCTGTCATGCCCCAAATAACTTATGCTCATTAGATTGAGCATAAGATTTTACATCTACTAGCAAAAGTATAGATTAGGAGAAAAACCTATTTATTTAAAAAAAAAAAATGTGTGCTGCAGGTAGAATAACAAGGAAAATCCCTATTTACCAACATGGAGTTCCCCTTTATAGTGTATTATTAACAACTTTTGTATCAATTTCAGGCTGTTTTTTGTGACTTGGGCAATCATGCCTGCCTGGCCAATATGCTCAGTGGTGTCCTACCATGCTTTACACAGTAGTACTGCTTTAAACTGCATCTTTTATACAAAAATGACATTGTATTGTAAAGTATGACCTTTTATCTATATATTGTGGAATACACTCATTCTATATATCAGCTTTTAGTTTATAGCTTGTTTGTCAGATCTCAATGTCTTACATAAGCCATGCAGGTTGGTTTATATGAGGGCTAGAAGCTTTGGCACTCCCAATGTTGTGGTCTATATTTCCCCTAATGCTTTGCCGGCATTATAGCTGTAAGAACATTATGGGAGATGTAGTTCATAACATCTGCAGTGTGGAAGGTTGCCTATTGCTTTACATTCTGAATGTTCGGTTTGACTTGGGTCTTTCTTCAAACTATATTATGAAGTAACTGTCATTTTGCTTTAGGACTACAAGGTACCAGGAACTCGTAGACTTCATGAAGTTCTGGGTGTGGAAACAGGAGGCCCAGGTGGTCGAAGGGCAGGAGAGCAGGGACATTCGCCTTCAGATTATTTGAAATTCAAAGATTTAATACTGCGGATGTTGGATTACGACCCTAAAAGTAGAATCACCCCTTTCTATGCTCTCCAACACAACTTCTTTAAGAAAACAACAGATGAAGGGACTAACACAAGTAATAGTAACTCTACGAGCCCTGCAATGGACCATAGTCATTCAACGAGTACAACTAGTTCTGTGTCAAGCTCAGGTGAGTGAGAAACTGCTTCCTGTTCTCATAACAAATATCTTTGTGGGACAAACAACTGTCCCAGTTCAAGAATAAATGTTAATAGGAATGCTCCAATTTTCCAAATAAGTATACATGACAATAAAAAAATTGTTAAACAAACTTCAAAGTAAAACATTGATCTGCCACAAAGTAAATGCTATTTTAGATTTTTGTTTGATACCAGGATTTTTATTCCACTTTATAACAGTTTTTTGGTTTCTCTAGGAGGATCCAGTGGCTCATCGAACGATAACCGTAATTACCGGTACAGCAACAGATACTATAACAGTGCTGTTGCACACACAGACTATGAAATGCAGAGTCCGCAGGTATGTAAGCTTTTTACCCCTGGTCAGACCTACCAAGTGAGAAAAACTAACACACGTAAAGGACTAATTTGAAATGCGCTACCATTGAGTGATTGATGGACATGTGAAATAAAGCAAGTACAAGCGGTTTACAGCACATTTATTGCTTGTAAGTATTTTACGGACCTATGTTTATGGGGGAATAAAAAAAGAAGAAAGCTGTTAGTCATGAAGCGTCTCCACTGGAGGCTCTCTGAGCATGAGAACTGTAGTACACAAGCTATGCAGCTATTGTGCCTGAGGAAGGCAATCTCTGACTTCTGTGTAAAATGTATGTTAATGTACCAGGATTGCTTGAATTGAAAAGTAACATTCCAACCATTACAGCACCATACTTTAAAGGGACACTATATTCACCAGAACAACGCCAGCTTATTGTATTTGTTCTGGTGAGTATAGTTAGTCACTGCAGGCTTTTTGCAGTAAACACTGTTTTGTTTTGGGCTTTTTTTCCCAGAGAAAATGCAGTGTTTATTACTGCGTAGGAATTCTTCCACTGGCCATTCCTCAGATGGCTACTAGAGGTGCTTCCTGGGCCAGTGCTGCACAGTGTGATTGCACAGGCAGCTCAGTTGCAGGGTATCACTTGTTCACTTCTATCCTATATTTCTATAGTTAAGAGGTGTGTAAAATGAAATGTAGAAATCCACCCTTCTTTATCCTGCCATATTGGCTCTCTGTCAGAGAGAAATCATACAGAGACAAAATTAAAGGGATGCCCATAGCACCAAAACAACTTTAGCTTAAAGCAGAATACTACAGGTTACATGGTGAATGCGTGTTCCTTTAAAACTACAACAAAAAAATTACATATCCAGCACCATGACCACTCTGTGCCTGGGCACCCACCATTATAAATGTGACTTCTTACTACATCAGACAGAGAGCTGGACTGTCAGGTGATTGCATCAGCAGGTGTAGCTCAGAGCTGGACTGTCAGGTGATTGTACCAGCAGGTTTAGCTCAGAGACTGTCAGGTGATTGTACCAGCAGGTTTAGCTCAGAGACTGTCAGGTGATTGTACCAGCAGGTTAGGCTCGACTGTCAGGTGATTGTACCAGCAGGTTTAGCTCAGAGCTTGACTGTCAGGTGATTGCATCAGCAGGCTTAGCTCAGAGCAGGACTGTCAGGTGATTGTACCAGCAGGTTTAGCTCAGAGCTTGACTGTCAGGTGATTGTACCAGCAGGTTTAGCTCAGAGCTTGACTGTCAGGTGATTGTGCCAGCAGGTTTAGCTCAGAGCTGGACTGTCAGGTGATTGCATCAGTAGGTTTAGCTCAGAGCTGGACTGTCATGTGATTGTACCAGCAAGTTTAGCTCAGATAGAGCTGAACTGTCAGGTGATTGCATCAGCAGGTTAGGCTCAGATAGAGCTCGACTGTCAGGTGATTGCATCAGCAGGTTTAGCTCAGAGCTGGACTGTCAGGGGATTGTACCAGCAGGTTTAGCTCAGGCAGGGAGCTGGACTGTCAGGTGATTGTACCAGCAGGTTAGGCTCAGATAGAGCTGGACTGTCAGGTGATTGTTTGATTTCTGCCTCTTTTTTTCTGTTGTTATTTAATTAACAAAATTTACAATTTTAGAAAACAAGAGTCTCTTCCTTTTTTATGTACGTTGTGTGGGCTGGCTGTGTGTAATATACGGGTGTGTGCTTTTTTTTTTTTTTTTACTTCGTATGATTGATTCACTAAGGAAAGGAAACTTTATTTTATTAATATCAGTATGTTTCGGGGTTCATGATTTTACCTTCTGTAAGTTACTAAGACCTGTATTTCCCTTTTTTTCAGGTTCCTTCACAACAGCAGATAAGACTGTGGGCTGGTGGAGATGTTCCAATCACAAACAGTGATTCCTACCCTCAGATCTTACCTCACAAACCTACTCCCAGTCAGCCACAGCATTTTCACGGAAATGAACCGCATCACCCACACCCGCTGTATCATCACGTCAATCGGCCGCACTACCACCGGCAACTCATCACTTCCTCCTCTCCACAAATCCCAGAGTCCATGGAGCTGAGCTTGGGACACAGACACCCCCAGTCTTCCTCTTCATTGCACCCACATCATCCTAGCTTAGACTGCACTCCGTTTGGCTCCTCAAACTTACACTTAGGTGTTTCTGCTTTTCGGACTAGAACAGTCAGTGGGCATAACGATTCAGGGGGGCCCCTGAATTATCCCTACTCTAGCAACACATCCAGCATGGTTGGACCCCCTCATATCCGAAACAGGACGGAAACTGAAGAGAGTGCTATGTTAGGCGTTTGTGTCCCTCAGAGTACGGCGGCAAGCTCTTGATGATTCTTTCATGTAAAATTAAAGCCATACCAATAATAGAAATACTGAATTTGCAGGAGGGCTGACAAGCTGCAGGGTGGGGTTGTGGAAAAGGGATGAGCTGGCTTTTATCACAACCATCAAAAAATGTCAAGGTGTAGCTGTTAATGTGAATTGTTTATTTATTAAAAAAAAATCACTACGAGAGGAGTGTGAAGTGTGTGTTGACCATGAGAAGCAGTTTTAACAGACTTCAATTGGACTATTTTTTTTTTTTTTTTTTAATTTTATTTTTTAAATTGCTTTTTGACACACTGGTAGAAGTTAACCTGTGCAAAGACTTCAAGACATTTCCAATGCTTCCATTTCTATCATAATTTCCTCTTCAAAAAAAAAATAAAAAATAAAAAGCAGGATAAACCCAGACTTACTTTGCACGTCAGTGAACTCGTTTACAGGCCAAACATCACTCTGCAAACACTGTCTGTGCCATCTTATCATTCTTTGTCCCTACCCCACTTTATACCAACCATGCTAGGGTGCACAAAGATGCACTTCACTGGAATACCCTTGGCTGCTAACTCCACTCTCTCAACTGGAATTGCTGCTAAAACTCTTTAACAGTTTGCTTTATAAAAAAAACAGAAGGTTCCGTGGTTTTTGTTTTTTTTAGGTTTTTTTTTTGTTTTTATTTATGGCGTAATACTCAGTCAGTTTTAGCTGTTTCAGGAAAGATTTTTAGGAGCCATTTTTCCCATTTACAGTTTAATGCTGCAGAAATTCAGTGCATCCCCCTCCAGGTTTGTGTTGGGTTTTTTTTTTTTTTTTTTTGGAGGGTGGATGGAAGATTTAACTTTTTACCCAAGTTTCACTTTTTAACATGTCAGTTAATCATGTTTTTATTTTCCCCACACTGAATTATGTTCTTTTTTTCTTTTGATACACTACAAGATATATTTGACTGCATTTAGGTTTTCCCATTTATTTGAGATGATTGATTTACTCCCGGCCTTTTAAGTTCAATGTGAGCAGTAATGGTGCACCTCCACGATAATTTAGACACTAAGCCCTTGCTTCAGTATTAAAACCAGTCACATACAGTTCTCGCTGCTGTAACAGGGTTTGTTTTTATTTATTTCCCAAGGCTTTCAAAAAGTTATGGCAAAACATGTCCTTTTTTCATATCTCTGTGGATAGTAACTTACTTTTTTTTCCTTTTATTTAAATTTTTCATTTTTTTTCTTTCATTTTATTTTATTTATTGTACCAAAGATGGTATTAAGGCATCACAAAAAATGATCAGACATGTAAAATGATTGTCTTTTTAAATGTTTCCTTTTCTGTTCTTGCGTGTTTAATTGGGCTTAAAATTCTGAATCATGTGTAGTTGCTGTTGGACTCCAAGGCTTTTCACATTCATGTTTGTTTCAAGTATTGTGGGTGTTTTTGGAGGATCCTAAAAATAAAGTAATAGACAGCTCCACAAGACCTAGAGGTCAGTCTGATTGTGTGCGGACACATTACCCATATTGTAAAATATTTTCACAGCGCTCAATTGCTTTGGTAAATAAAAAGTAAATAGACATGTCTGTTAAATAGGTTCTTCTAATAAAGTTATTTTTTTGCTGCCGTCTGGTGGGGCTTTTCTCAGTGCAATATACGGGATGCCCCCTATGGCAACAAAAAGTCAATTCTGATAACCCGTTCTATGGGATGTATCTATACAAGTGGAGAGAGAAAAATCGCGCATTGACATTTTCAAAATCTATGTACGCCAAACCTCATCCAGAAATTCTGTGTATCGTCTGGCATTGCCTGTTATTCATACATTTCATATGCTGTTTTTATTTCTGCTTTTGTAAATCAGAGTTTATTAATGTTTATGCACATTTAATCTAGTAAAGAAATTTTTCTTAAAGCCTCTAATTTAAAAATGTATAGCAGTGTGGAGTTTTATAGGCTTTAAGTTGTTTTATTTTTATTCCAAAATTTCTTAGGGACAGGTACAGCATTACAGGGTAATTTTTGATTGTAAGAGGAAGTAGACTAAAACTCATCTAAAGACTTTGTTCTGTCACTGCTGTAATTATCTCTGATACAATTAACCTTTTTCTTTCAGAACTACAATACATTTTTTATTTTTACATTATTTTTTTAAATGAAATTTCAAAGACAAGTATGACATGATCAGTTTGTTTTCTTTTTGGGTTTTTGCTTTTCTTTTTGGTTTACATTTTCACCTGTGTCTTTCTAGTCACTACTGTTAAAGTCCAGAACAGGTTTGTACTGCGCAAGTGATCAATAAATGAAGGCGCTACTTTGGACTTGTGCATTTTGCAGAAAACATTATTCAAGCTATGTGTTTTTAAAGTGCATTCTGTTAAATTGTATTACATGTGCTATCTAGTTCTTCTTCCATTGACATGGAATAACTTGAGGTAGAGGTCAGTGCCCTGTTAAAAGGTGAGAACATGTTTCACATGTGAAATTAGATGACTTGCCAAAAATAATCCAGTTAGTGCACATGGCTGATAACAAGTTTAATATATTGTGTATTGTTCCTGGGTTAACAGGCTAAAAAGATTCAAAGTATGTTCCATTTTTGATCAACTGTTCACTATTAGCTCCCTTAACCTTTCAGGTTTAATAATCTAATTTGTATAATAACATATTTTAGTTCACTTTAGAATAAGCAGTGTTCTAGGTTGGTTTCTTTGCCGCATGACGATGCAGGCTTTGACTGTTTACCATTTGGTGTTGTATATCCCTTAATAGTTCAGTGTGTATGTAATGTTATTTCATAATTCCCACCTTGGGCGGCGGGGGAAAAAACATTAGATGTACATATTACACAGAACAAGAATATTTCAGGTATAGACTGGGAAATAACACATTGCTGCTTGTTACTGTATTAATCGATTTTCCTCTTGTAATTTGGTCCTAGTTATAATTGCTGAACTGTCCAGCTCTTGTCAGGGAATAGTAGAGGAGATTATTTCTATAAAGGGATGAGGACAACTTATTATACAGTGAGGTTTATGTTGGGTAATTAGCAAACTAATGGGGCTAATGGTAAGTTTCCTCCATAAATCTCTGGCAGCCATAGTTTGTAAGAGACAGTGATTTTCTTTCTTTATATATTTTTTTCATTTTATATCAATTTACCCCTTGGTACTGGTTAAAGGACCACTCTAGGCACCCAGACCACTTCAGCTTAATGAAGTGGTCTGGGTGCCTGGTCCAGCTAGGGTTAACCCATTTTTTAATAAACATAGCAGTTTCAGAGAAACTGCTATGTTTATCAATGGGTTAAGCCTTCCCCTATTCCCTCTAGTGGCTGTCTCATTGACAGCCACTAGAGGCGCTTGCGTGCTTCTCACTGTGATTTTCACAGTGAGAGCACGCAAGCGTCCATAGGAAAGCATTGTAAATGCTTTCCTATGCGACGGGCTGAATGCGCGCGCAGCTAGTCCAGGAGGAGGAGGAGAGGAGGCAGAGAGCTCCCCGCCCAGCGCTGGAAAAAGGTAAGTTTAAACCCCTTTCCAGAGCCGGGCAGGAGGGGGTCCCTGAGGGTGGGGGCACCCTCAGGGCACTATAGTGCCAGGAAAACGAGTATGTTTTCCTGGCACTATAGTGGTCCTTTAAGAATAAACAAAATATTGACATCTGCCCAGCAGTAATTTTTTTCTGGTTTTATTGAGAAGCAGTGGATCCATAGAACTTTTCTCTTGGCCTGCAGCCCTTTTATATCAAGCCACATGACACCTTGGATTCATTTCGTATATGGAATAATCAGTGCAATTGTTTTATGTTTTTCTTTTTTTATTGACTGCTTTTAGATTGCTATCTGTTGCTTCCAGTCCTAAACAAGGGGTTTCCGTACAAGAGAGCGTTGTTCTAACCAAGCCTTCAGTGTAGGATAATGAAGGTTAGAGGTTTAAGGATTTTGGTTACACCAAATGTAACTACCGCTCTAACCTAATTTAGCTTCTTTAACAATTTTCAGAAGGTAATTTTATTGCGGTTCTCAGGATCCAGTTCTTATATTCAGTCTCCACAGCATCTGTACATCTAAGTCATGCTGATCACAGAGAAGATTGTATATTTAGCCTGGAAGAAACTGGAATTCTTTAACACATTTAAGAGTGTATTTGTAAAGCTTATTTCTCTTAATTCCTGAATGTTGCTGATGAGCTTCTGAAAGGTAGAATCGCTTACAAATATAAGACTGTCACCCAATGTTTTGATCTTCTGGAAGTATCTGGTCTGTAGATGCACTACTAGATATGTCTCTTTAAAGGGTTCTGGAAGTATTAAGAACATGACTGCTATGTTAATACATTCCATAGCTGGGGTCTCCAGTTACCTTGCCTGATCTTGCCAAGATAACACATTGGGTGTGCAGATCTTAAAACTGCTCTGTCACAAATTATGTAAAGATCCCTAATGTTGACATCACCACTGGCCCTGGAAAGATGAGATTTACTTACCTGAACCTATACTTTGAATCCTCCGTAGAGAGAGCTTTAATTTCCTACAGCCGGTATTGAGACAAATCCTAAGCTGCTGCCATCAAGCTTGGTCATCAAGTTTAGGAAAAATACTGAGACAGTGTAAGTCCCTATTATGTTTCAGGATAGCTTTTGACTGGGTTGGAATTTCAGTGAAATTCCAATACACACCATCTGAATATTTCATTTGATATGGGATTGACAGTCGCTTTAAAGAAACACTTCATTGCCTTAATAAAAATCACTGTTAATAGATGTAATTATGCATTTCATTGGGGGTATATCTAAAAACAGCTGGCAAAAGCTGCAAATCTGATTTCTGCAAGCCTGCTCAGACTTTGGCTGTCAAATCAGGGTGCTCTTGAGTTTATCTCCACTGAGCTATAGAGCCAGGAAGTAACATGACTGGGTGTCTGACAGCCAGCGGGTGTAAAGAGTATTTTTTTTTTAAAGAGACAGTCTTTTGAAATCACACACAAAGCTCTTCAGAAAGCTAAGGGGAATGCCCAGCGCACCTGCCTTGCAAGAATTTCTCAATGAGCTGCATTGGGAAGTCTGTGGATGGCGTTATAAGGGGAGGGCTTGCAAAGGCGGCAAACGAGATCTGCATCTTTAAGCGGTTTTCAGGTATGCCCCAATTAAAAAAAAAAAAAATGCATGTGTATATGCAAAATAGAGATTTATTTTTAATTGGGCAAGTGGAGTGTAACTTTTAATAAATTGCCAATTTCTCTTGAGTTTAGTACTTTCATATACTGTAGTGTGAAAGAGGCGGGACTCTCCTAAAGCACATTCAGTCTGTAATACTGTAAAATCAGCTACCACTCAAGATCTAATCTCCTGTGGCACTGCTTCTGCTGTCTCTTTTCATGGTGGTCTTCAGTGAACACTCCCATACAGTATAACAAGTGAGGTGGGATTCAAGACCACCACCCTATTAGTATTGTTCTCCTATTTCTCTTAAGTTCATTCAGTCTGCCCTTCCCTGTCCCTGTCTGCTCACATTGCCCCCTCAGGCTCTATTTTCTGACCATTTTTGTGCTTGGTGCAAGCACTAATGACAATGAATTAGTTGATCAGTTGCTTATAGCCCTGGCACAGTAAATGTATCTCTTATCTCTTAAGTAGCTACCCTACAGCATTACTGGAAGAAACTTAGCCCAACACCAGACCTATGGCACAACAAATCTGTGCATTGCACACTTCCATTCCACACCATTATTTTTTAACAACTCCCTGCTCTGCCCTTCTGCTACCCTCTACACACTAACCACAACAATTCTATACCACTGACTTCTCTCCCCACCCCGAAAACTTCAGTGTCTCGAAAGGTTTCTACAGTTTTAGCCTTTTGTCCTACCAGCTGTCTACTTAAACTTGTACTTTTTTCCCTTTTATTTACTTTTCCTCTGTCTTGGCGTATCTCTTACACATTTGCAATCTCTTTTCTGGTGTCTTGTCATTGCCAATCCCATCCTAGAAAACCCTCCTTGTTACTTCACATCTCCTAACTACCATTTCATATTGTTCTAGGTTTGTATACCCACCCTAACTGTCAATTTAAAATCTCTCCAAGAACCTGTTCAGTCTCTTCACATGTCTGAAACAGCCTTTACTAAACTAATGATTTAATCACCACTTAATACAAAGGACTTAATGCTCCTTAACCTGTTTGCCACCTCTGAAACGATCACCCACTCGCTCCCTCTTCAAACTTTATGTAATTTTGGCTTTTGTTGCATGGTCTTGTCCTAGTTCTCATCTTAGCTCTCCCAACACTCATTTAGCACTTTGCTGCCCCCTCCCCCTCCCCCGTCAGCCCCTTGTCTGTTCTAACAATCTTAGTCGTAGTCACCCAGGCTCTGGTATTGCCTCTTATTTTATCTTTATGTTACCTTTTTTGGTAACCCTTTTGGACTTCAGTACCATCTACATGTTGACACTCAGGTGTACCTCTTCTTCTCTGCCCTCTTGGAACACTTTACTAATTTACATATTATTTGTAAATAATCCCTTCCAAGTACCAAAAATTTAATCTTTTGGGAACAGAACTTAAAGGAACACTGTAGTCACCCAGACGACTTCAACTCAATGAAGTCGTCTGGGTGCCAGGTCCCCCAGGTTTTAACCCTTCAGATGTAAACATAGCAATTTCAGAGAAGAGGTCTCTACCCATCTCCAAGCCGTCCAAGGGCGAGTGGGTGGGATAATACTCGCCTCCGTGTCTTTAATAAAATCATGACTTTTAATAGTAAAATTCTTAAATTTTATTAAAGACCCGGAGGCTCCTATGATGCTATTTCAAAGCTTTGATATCACAGCTTCTGCGAAATGCTGGATTGGTTTGAAATAGAAATTACGGAAAGTAGATTCCGCGGGCCAGTCAGCCGCCTTCATTATATCCTCCAAGCGACAACCAACAAAGGAGGCTTTAGAGGCCATGGCACCGCGAACTGAATGAGGAGGAAATATGGAGGTATCAATACCTGCCTAGGAGATGAGCTACTTGACCCAGTGGACCAGGGTGGGAGAGGATACCGGAGCATGCGGTTTGTGAAAGGAGATGAAGAGTTGGGTGTCTGGACCAGTCCGAAGGGGTGCGGTACGAATTTCGTATGCCCGAAGGCACACTACTGGGCAAAGGAGCGGCTTCGTGGGGAAAGCTGGATACAGGATCGACCGGGAGGACGATTTAGTCCTCCATGAGATGTCAAAAACTACTCCCTCTGGGGAGAAGGAGCGGGCATTGACATTGAGTGCCCTAACATCTGATACTCTTTTGCATGAGGTTAGGCACAACAGCATAACCAGTTTAACCGAGAGTTGCCTTAAGGATAAAGATTTGTTTTCTGGCCACATAGTCAGGAAATTCAATACCAGGGAGAAGTCCCATAGGGAGGAATAGCGAGGTAAAGGTGGTCTTCCGAAGCAGATGCCGCGGAGAAGACTTCAAACAAGGGGGTGTCGTCCTATCGGAGCACCGCCAATGCCGGCTGAAATAGCTGAGCGGTAGAGGTTTACCGTCCATTAAGCATTCCCGTTAGCGTAAAGGGAGGTTAAGAATTGGAGGATAGTCATTATAGGAGTTGATAGGGTATCCTCTCCCGTGCCACGCATCAACCATCCCATGTGCGCCAAGCAGACTTGTAAGACTGTCTCATGCCGGGTGCCCATGCGCCCTAGAGAAGTCGGAGAGTCGATCGCGAAACTCCCTCGATTGACCAGGGTCCCCGGAAAGTAGCCACGACATGAGGCGGAGGAGACCCTGCAGGATCATGGGGTGGGGGGTCCCATCGGGGTCCCGTACGAGAGATTGGGCATCCGGGAGGAGCCGTGGGTGGTCTATAGCCATCTCTAGTAAAGGAGGGAACCAGGGCTGAGGGGGGTTACTATCACCAGGCAGCCCAATTGGCGCCGTAGATGGAGGAGGCAACGAGGGATGAGGGCGGATGGAGGGAATGCATAATTCCTGGTGGTGGACCAGTCTTGGGAGAATGCATTCGTAGCCGAAGCCTGGCCTCCATGTGTAGGAGCTTCTACGTCTAGTGTTAGGGTATCCTCGTATGAGGTGCCGCCCCTGGGGTATGACCCATGTAGGCGTTGGAGAGCTCTGTAGTGAAGGGGGCCCGGAAATATGGCCTGTATGGAGAATCGAGGAACCCGATCACGCGGGCCAGATGCTTGAGAGATAATTGCGGACAGGCAAGAACGCGTTTATCTCTTTCTTGATATTTTTCATTTTGGAGGTTGGTAAATATAAGGTTTGCATGTCTGAGTTCACTAAGAGTCCTAGAAACTCTATTTGTCGAGTGGGGACTAAGATGGACTTTTCCCAATTTATAAGGAAGCCCAGATTCTGTAGCAAGGTTGTAGTCCAACCGAGGTGAATGTGAAGTAGGGAAATTTATTGGGATAACAGCAGGATGTCGTCTAAGTATATGATTAGGCGAATCCCCCGACTGCGTAGGAGGGCGATAACGGGCATCATGAGCTTAGTGAAACACCAAGGCGTAGAAGAGAGACCGAAGGGAAGGCAGCGGAACCGCCATTTCCTTCCTTGCCATGTGAATTGCAGGAAATCTTCATGAACCTCTGCAATGGGCACCGTGAGGTAGGCGTCTCTTAGGTCGAGTTTGACCATCCAGTCTGCTGGCTGGAGCAAATCTCGTAGGCAATGAATGCCTTCCATCTTGAAGTGATGGTAAGTTATGTAGGTATTTAAGTGTGATTGATGACTGGGCGGGTTCCGCCCCCATTTTTGGGGACAATAAAGAGGTTGCTCACAAGACCCGAGGAATGCGTCGGGATTTCCTGAATAGCACCTTTGAGTGCCAGCTCTCGAACTTCCTCGGAGACGAGGGTCGTGTCTAGTGGGGAAAAAACAAAGCCTATTAGATACCCGTGGACCGCCCTGAGTACCCAGGCATCTGATGTAATGAGAGCCCAGACATGGGAAAAATGTGTGTCTGCCCCAAATTGCCACAGGTGAAGAAATTTGAGAAAGGTAGCTTACCGTGAGGACGTCGTCCAGAAAGAGCGCCTCGTGCACCTGCCTCGTTGGGGGAAGAAGGTCGGAGTGGACCTCTGCCGGCCCCAACAAAAACCTTTGGATGGAACACCCTTTTCATATTTGATTGTGCCTTGTCTAAGGCCGTAATGTTTGGACATAGGAGCCCAGGTCTTTCACAAAAGACTCTCTTAAAAGATACCCTTTTGCTTGGGCTCCTGGCTCAGTAATTGCCATATTTACGAGTTTTGGTTCTATTTTTATTGGGATAGATTTACGGCGCTCTGTAGCGAGAGAGTCGAATTGGCATTGCTGATTAGGCATATTACTCTTTGGATCCAACCTCTAATCGTGAGGCGATCTAAGACTTCGTCTTGAGCCAAGGATTCTGCCACGGCTTCAAAAAAATTTGTCGCTGGCCCCAAAATATCCAAAACTTTGTCTTGGCAATTATAAAGTGAAAAATCTAAACCTTTTTTAGGTTTCCAATTAGTTTTGCTTAAAAATTGTATAATCTTGTAATCGACTTGGGGATCAACCTTGTTTGTTTTAACGAGATCGAGACAAGCATCCTTTTTAGTTGGTGCTTGTACCAGTTGTGACATGAAGATGTCATTGAATACATTCAAAAACCTGATTTCCTTTGCTGAGCTACTAGTCATTCTTTCCCAATTTATGCCTGGGTAATTAAAATCTCCAATAATTAACGTGTTACCCCGATTTGCAGCTTTGCCCAAATCCACAATCTCAGTAAATTAGAATATTGTGAAAAGGTGCAATGTTCTAGGCTCACCGTGTCCCACTCTAATCAGCTAAGTAAGCCATAACCTGCAAAGGATTTCTGAGCCTTTAAATGGTCTCTGTCTGGTTCAGTAGGAATCACAATCATGAGGAAGACTGCAGACCTGACACTTGTGCAGAAAACCATCATTGACACCATCCATAAGGAGGGAAAGACTCAAAAGGTAATGCCGAAGGAAGTTGAAAGTTCCCAAAGTGCTGTATCAATGCACATTAATAGAAAGTTATGTGGAAGGGAAAAGTGTGGAAGAAGAAAGTGCACAAGCAGCAGGGATGACTGCTGCCTGGAGAGGATGGTCAGGAAAAGGCCATTCAAATGAGTTGGGGGCTTTCACAAGGATTGGACTGAGGCTGGAGTCAGTGCATCAAGAGCCACCACACACAGATGGATCCTGGACAGGGCTTCAGATGTCGTATTCCTCTTGTCAAGCCGCTCCTGAACAACAAACAACATCAGAAGCGTCTTACCTGGGCTAGAGAAAAATATACCTGTTCTGTTGCTGGAGAGACACACACTGCAAGATGCTTGAAGTCCAGTGTGAAGTTTCCACAGTCTGTGTTGATTTGGGGAGCCATGTCATCTGCTGGTGTTGGTCCAAGTACTGAGTCCATATGCATGCTTATACTTTTCAGAGGTCTGATATTGTTCTATGTACACTGCTTGTTTTATTGATTGCATGGAAAAATTCTAATTTACTGAGATTGTGGATTTAGGGTTTTCATGAGCTGTAAGCCATAATCATCGCACTTATGACAAATCACAGCTTGAACTATCTTGCTTTGCATGTAATGCGTCTATCTCATATATTAGTTTCCCCTTTTACGTTGCATTACTGAAATAAATGAACCTTTGCATGATATTCTAATTTTTCGAGTACCACCTGTATATATTTCAATTGAAATAGTACAAACTGAAGTGCAGTACTGAAATGTCATGATTTAAAATACATAATTCTCATGGTATCAGAACAACCAACAGAAAAACAGCGTATAGAAACAAAAAAATTTCCTTTAGCACTGTGCTAATGCCACAACCCAAAAATTGCAATAAAAGCAGCAGAGAGAACAATCTGAAATAGTGTGCAAATACCAGGAGCTGACCTGTGATTATGACTAAAATATGATGGTAATAGAAAGTGCAATATAAATATAAAATATAAGATGTACTGTGCCTTTAAGAAATGGAAAAATGAAAATAAAAAATATATAAGCAAATACAAATATACTTTTAGGAGTAAAAAGGGAGGAATAAATGGATAAAAAATAATGCTAATAAAAAAGGATAAAATCGTAACATAAAAACAAAGATAAAAATAGGATTAGGAACAATGAAATGATATTATGCAGCAAATAATATGTGCAGTGCAAATATCTAAATATCTCTATATGTGCACTGCACATATTATTTGCTGCATTATATCATTCATTATTCCTAATCCTATTTTTCTTTCTTTTTATTAGCATTATTTTTATCCTTTTTGTTCCTTCCTTTTTACTCCTAAAAGTATATTTGTATTTGCTTATATATTTTTTTTTATTTTCATTTTTCCATTTCTTAAAGGCACAGTACATCTTATATTTGATATTTATATTGCACTTTCTATTACCATCATATTTTAGTCATAATCACAGGTCAGCTCCTGGTATCTGCACACTATTTCAGAGTGTTCTCTCTGCCGCTTTTATTTATTTATAGGTTTTAGTGAATCCCTATCTACTTCCAGTTTGAGCGACCTATTGTTAGTCAGACTCCTTCTTTCCTGTGTATTACACTAGGTAAACCAGAACCATTCATTCCAAAAATTGCAATGTTTCTTTAAATAATAATCAAACTTGGGGGAGCTGCCAACGAGGGCGATGTTGGCTTGCAGGTTTTCACGTTTGTTTATTCTTTGACTTGGTTATTGAAAACAGTAAGAGAAGCCCAATTAAATTAGCTCACCACAACGATTTCCTCTCGCCCTTCAATATGTCTAAATTAGGTAATCTAACACAGCCCTTTATGTGGGCATCTCCACTGTTTGAGTGTTTATAGATAGGTCACTTACAAATATGCTGGCCATTAATCTTTATCATAAATCTTAGTTGTGCTCCTATCTTGCTGTCCCTACCGAGTATTTCATTTGTTGATCCAAACAATGGAGCTATACATGATGTACATCAGAAGTTTCTGACTGGATTATTTACTTAAAGGACCACTATAGGCACCCAGACCACTTAAGCTCAATGAAGTTGTCTGAGTGCCTGGTCCCCATACTTTTAACCCTGAAGCTGAAACCATTCCAGGCTTAATCCAGCCTTTAATGGCTGTCTCCCTGACAGCCACCAGAGGCCGCTTCCGTGATTCTCAGTGAGTAAATCTCACTTATTTGATGCTGGACGTCCTCATAGAGTAATGCTTTCCTATGGGCAGGTTTGAATGTGTGCGCGCCTCTGGCTGCAAATGCATTTGGCTCCACTCGGGAAGCTAACGGCAGGGCAGGAGAGGTCACCAGCACCGAGGTAACCCGGCGCTGGATTAAGGCAAGTGGCTGAACGGGTTTCAACCACTTCAGCCCAGCAGGAGGGGAGCCCCCAGACGGAGGGTGGAACCTATTAACCCTATAGTGCCAGGAAAACGGGTTTGTTTTTCTGGCACTGTAGGATCCCTTTAAGTGAGTTATCAATTCAATTAAATTTCAAATGTAAGGCAAAAATAGCTTAACTCGAAACATTCTTCAAAATCAGCTATGCTTGCAGTTGGACTACTTTGGCCTTAATTTTGAAATTAACTTCGAATTCCAGATAATTCTCTGTTAAGTAAATAACAATTTTAGAGCTTTAGTCAAGTATTTATTTATTTTATAGCATAATTTAAATTCTGTTTATTTAAAAATTAGTTTCAACTCAAGCTGGAAGTGTTCATTATAGCTGGAAGTCTCCATTTCTTCTGTTGTAGCTAGGATGGGAAGCCTATAAAATAATAAAAATTGAAATCATACTTGGTAACTTTCTTTTCCTGGCTAATCATGGCAGCATTACTTATGGGTAGCTCTGTCCTCCGAACCGAAACAGAACAGGAACTGAATGTATGAAAGTTACCTCCTCCCTTCATACACCAGTCAATTATTTCAAAGTGAAAGCAGAAAACGTGGTTGGGAAACTTGAAGTTAGTCAGGGTGAAAAAAATTATGGTAAGTATTTTATAAACTTTCCTTATTCCTGGCTAATTGTGACAGCATCACATAGAAGATAAAACACAAGGGACGGAAATACATTCTTAAACAAATCATGTGTTGCAAAAAGCAATTTAATTATGACCATTTACCGATGACAAGACAGCTCTGCCAAAGGCGATTGAAGAAGAGGACAAATCTAGGTTGTATTGTTCTATAAATGTGGTTGGAGAAGACAAAGTGGCTTCCTTGCATAAATTGTCAAAACGAACCTTAGTTTAAGTAGTAACTAATGCTCTTGTAGAGTGTGCTTTGATCTTGACTGGTGGAGAGATGCCATTCTTATGTTATGCATCTGAAATAACCACTCTAACCAAACGTCTTTGTGTTGTAGCTGATGCTGTTTCACCTTTCCGTGTGCCTGATAACCGGAATAATTTGTTGGACTTCCTAAAGGATTTTGTATTGGACTAGACATTCACAAACATCCAGTTCATGGAAGCTTAGATTCCTCTGAGTTTTGAGGATTAGGAATGAATGAAGGAAGGTGGTAGCACGCTGGGAGAGGCAGGGTAACTGCTTAGTAACATGAAAGGATCCAACGCGGTGTACTTGATAGGCAAGGCGATATCAGACTGTATGTAGAGCAGCCCGTGAGGCGAACAAGGCAGGCAGTTGTGGCAGAGAGAGAAGAGAGCGTGGTGGAAATTGGAGGACCGGATGTTGTTTGGGTCCCTAGGTCTGATCTGGAAGTGTGCAGCTCTCCCTTGGAGAAGCCCTGGAAACAAAACTACCTTGGACTCCTTTGGCAGACACCGAGGGAGAGGGAAATCTTTGCGATGTGAAAGAGGAGATAAGCAAAGCTATATCAGCAAAAACCTAGAACAGGAAAAATTATAGTTATCTAAAGGGAGAAAGGCATATAACAAGACCGAAAAGACAAAGGGATAAAAAGGCATAAAAGAGATGAAAACGGGAAAAGTGAATTGTATCAGGGGGCCGAGTCCTCAAAAATTACTGTGTAGAGAAAGTGAAGAAAAAAAAAAGAAAACCCCTTAGAGAAGGGGAAAAAAGGGTGAAGGAAAAAGGAGTCCATCAACTAAATAGTCAGAAATAATCTAGCATTCCAGTGGAAGAAGTCCACCATCAGATTTTATTTTTTTTAAGATTCTTTGTGTATTGCTGTTAATTACGAAGGCCTGATAAGTCAGAAAAATTAAGGGAGAGAAAGGGTTGTGCAAGAGGATAAAAGGGAAGAAAAAAAAAAAAAAGAATTCTCTATATCGAGGAAACCAGTTCCAAGTGAACAACATGGCAAGCGGCAGGGTGAGAAAGGCACAAAAGTATCCATGCTTACCTGCTGCAGGAGGGACAAGAAAGTAAATAAACAAAATATTTCCTTTTCAAGAAATATATACAGGTGGATTGGCGCTATTAGTAAAGTTGAGAACAGCAACTACCCCCAAGTGCCAAATAAATCACCAAAGGCACTATACAAGTACATAAAAGTGAAAAAGAAAGAAAGGAAGGGGAGTGCTAAAAGATAGTAATACAATATTTTACTTATTTCAGTACATCAATAATTCGATCAGTGTCTTACTGGATCAATCTAGGAGAGATAGACAAAATGTACATAGCATAATACTGTAAAGAGGAATTGTACACCAACAGTACATAGGTGATGGGTCACTCTCGATCTGTAGAGCCTTAAATAGCAGGCTCTAACTGTAACGGCTTGTCAAGTTTATCAGGCAATCTGCTTCTCCCTGTTGTGTTGACTTAAAATTCCTCCGGGTGCTTTTTCAATCATACCACGACTATTGTAGCCAAGTGGGTAAGGATATAAAGAGATTTATTACAATATAAAATGAAATGAAATAAAAACATACAGGGCACAACGCGTTTCGACTTCCGTCTTCTTCAAAGGTGCATATAATACAACCGTTCCCAGTCTCATTTAAATAGATCCTGTTCGAAAAAGGGATTCCCGGGTAAAAAACAATTTCGACTTCCGTATTGTGACGTCACTTCCGTGTTCCGCCGACGTCGCTTACTTTTTTGGCATCATCACGTGTTTGGTCTTTTGACGCAGTCTGCTCTTTAACCCGGATGTTATTGCATACAGGCGCCATCTTTAAAGATGGCATTTAGTCCATATAAGTCCGCTCATATAGAAAAGAGGCAGTCAATAATAGGATACATTAATTCATATTGTTAAAAAAGGATGCAATCAACAATAGGATACACTAGTTCATATTACAACAATCATAAATACAGCAATATGAAAAAATATTAGTTTTTTAATCCACA